CCCATCAACTGACCACTAACACAGGCAGTGCCCATCAACTGACCACTAACACAGGCAGTGCCCATCAACTGACCACTAACACAGGCAGTGCCCATCAACTGACCACTAACACAGGCAGTGCCCATCAACTGACCACTAACACAGGCAGTGCCCATCAACTGACCACTAACACAGGCAGTGCCCATCAACTGACCACTAACACAGGCAGTGCCCATCAACTGACCACTAACACAGGCAGTGCCCATCAACTGACCACTAACACAGGCAGTGCCCATCAACTGACCACTAACATAGGCAGTGCCCATCAACTGACCACTAACACAGGCAGTGCCCATCAACTGACCACTAACATAGGCAGTACCCATCAACTGACCACTAACACAGGCAGTGCCCATCAACTGACCACTAACATAGGCAGTGCCCATCAACTGACCACTAACATAGGCAGTACCCATCAACTGACCACTAACACCAGCAGTGCCCATCAACTGACCACTAACATAGGCAGTACCCATCAACTGACCACTAACACCAGCAGTGCCCATCAACTGACCACTAACATAGGCAGTGCCCATCAACTGACCACTAACACAGGCAGTACCCATCAACTGACCACTAACATAGGCAGTGCCCATCAACTGACCACTAACACAGGCAATACCCATCAACTGACCACTAACACAGGCAATACCCATCAACTGACCACTAACATAGGCAGTGCCCATCAACTGACTACTAACACAGGCAGTGCCCATCAACTGACCACTACACAGGCAGTGCCCATCAACTGACCACTAACATAGGCAGTGCCCATCAACTGACCACTAACACAGGCAGTGCCCATCAACTGACCACTAACACAGGCAGTGCCCATCAGTGTGCCCATCAACTGACCACTAACATAGGCAGTGCCCATCAACTGACCACTAACATAGGCAGTGCCCATCAACTGACCACTAACATAGGCAGTGCCCATCAACTGACCACTAACACAGGCAGTGCCCATCAACTGACCACTAACATAGGCAGTGCCCATCAACTGACCACTAACACAGGCAGTGCCCATCAACTGACCACTAACACAGGCAGTGCCCCATCAACTGACCACTAACACAGGCAGTGCCCATCAACTGACCACTAACACAGGCAGTGCCCATCAACTGACCACTAACACAGGCAGTGCCCATCAACTGACCACTAACACAGGCAGTGCCCATCAACTGACCACTAACACAGGCAGTGCCCATCAACTGACCACTAACACAGGCAGTGCCCATCAACTGACCACTAACACAGGCAGTGCCCATCAACTGACCACTAACACAGGCAGTGCCCATCAACTGACCACTAACACAGGCAGTGCCCATCAACTGACCACTAACACAGGCAGTGCCCATCAACTGACCACTAACACAGGCAGTGCCCATCAACTGACCACTAACACAGGCAGTGCCCATCAACTGACCACTAACACAGGCAGTGCCCATCAACTGACCACTAACACAGGCAGTGCCCATCAACTGACCACTAACACAGGCAGTGCCCATCAACTGACCACTAACACAGGCAGTGCCCATCAACTGACCACTAACACAGGCAGTGCCCATCAACTGACCACTAACACAGGCAGTGCCCATCAACTGACCACTAACACAGGCAGTGCCCATCAACTGACCACTAACACAGGCAGTGCCCATCAACTGACCACTAACACAGGCAGTGCCCATCAACTGACCACTAACACAGGCAGTGCCCATCAACTGACCACTAACACAGGCAGTGCCCATCAACTGACCACTAACACAGGCAGTGCCCATCAACTGACCACTAACACAGGCAGTGCCCATCAACTGACCACTAACACAGGCAGTGCCCATCAACTGACCACTAAACAGGCAGTGCCCATCAACTGACCACTAACACAGGCAGTACCCATCAACTGACCACTAACACAGGCAGTGCCCATCAACTGACCACTAACACAGGCAGTGCCCATCAACTGACCACTAACACAGGCAGTGCCCATCAACTGACCACTAACACAGGCAGTGCCCATCAACTGACCACTAACACAGGCAGTGCCCATCAACTGACCACTACCACACAGGCAGTGCCCATCAACTGACCACTAACACAGGCAGTGCCCATCAACTGACCACTAACACAGGCAGTGCCCATCAACTGACCACTAACACAGGCAGTAACCCCAGCAGTACCCATCAACTGACCACTAACACAGGCAGTGCCCATCAACTGACCACTAACACAGGCAGTGCCCATCAACTGACCACTAACACAGGCAGTGACCACTAAACACCCATCAACTGACCACTAACACAGGCAGTGCCCACTCAGGCACTGCCCATCAACCACTAACACAGGCAGTGCCCATCAACTGACCACTAACACAGGCAGTGCCCATCAACTGACCACTAACACAGGCAGTGCCCATCAACTGACCACTAACACAGGCAGTGCCCATCAACTGACCACTAACAGGCAGGCAGTGTACCCATCAACTGACCACTAACACAGGCAGTGCCCATCAACTGACCACTAACACAGGCAGTGCCCATCAACTGACCACTAACACAGGCAGTGCCCATCAACTGACCACTAACACAGGCAGTGCCCATCAACTGACCACTAACACAGGCAGTGCCCATCAACCACTAACATAGGCAGTGCCCATCAACTGACCACTAACACAGGCAGTGCCCATCAACTGACCACTAACACAGGCAGTGCCCATCAACTGACCACTAACATAGGCAGTGCCCATCAACTGACCACTAACACAGGCAGTGCCCATCAACTGACCACTAACACAGGCAGTGCCCATCAACTGACCACTAACACAGGCAGTGCCCATCAACTGACCACTAACAGGCAGTGCCCATCAACTGACCACTAACACAGGCAGTGCCCATCAACTGACCACTAACACAGGCAGTGCCCATCAACTGACCACTAACACAGGCAGTGCCCATCAACTGACCACTAACACAGGCAGTGCCCATCAACTGACCACTAACACAGGCAGTGCCCATCAACTGACCACTAACACAGGCAGTGCCCATCAACTGACCACTAACACAGGCAGTGCCCATCAACTGACCACTAACACAGGCAGTGCCCATCAACTGACCACTAACACAGGCAGTGCCCATCAACTGACCACTAACACAGGCAGTGCCCATCAACTGACCACTAACACAGGCAGTGCCCATCAACTGACCACTAACACAGGCAGTGCCCATCAACTGACCACTAACACAGGCAGTGCCCATCAACTGACCACTAACACAGGCAGTGCCCATCAACTGACCACTAACACAGGCAGTGCCCATCAACTGACCACTAACACAGGCAGTGCCCATCAACTGACCACTAACACAGGCAGTGCCCATCAACTGACCACTAACACAGGCAGTGCCCATCAACTGACCACTAACACAGGCAGCCCATCAACTGACCACTAACACAGGCAGTGCCCATCAACTGACCACTAACACAGGCAGTGCCCATCAACTGACCACTAACACAGGCAGTGCCCATCAACTGACCACTAACACAGGCAGTGCCCATCAACTGACCACTAACACAGGCAGTGCCCATCAACTGACCACTAACACAGGCAGTGCCCATCAACTGACCACTAACACAGGCAGTACCCATCAACTGACCACTAACACAGGCAGTGCCCATCAACTGACCACTAACACAGGCAGTGCCCATCAACTGACCACTAACACAGGCAGTGCCCATCAACTGACCACTAACACAGGCAGTGCCCATCAACTGACCACTAACACAGGCAGTAACACAGGCAGTGCCCATCAACTGACCACTAACACAGGCAGTGCCCATCAACTGACCACTAACACAGGCAGTGCCCATCAACTGACCACTAACACAGGCAGTGCCCATCAACTGACCACTAACACAGGCAGTGCCCATCAACTGACCACTAACACAGGCAGTGCCCATCAACTGACCACTAACACAGGCAGTGCCCATCAACTGACCACTAACACAGGCAGTACCCATCAACTGACCACTAACACAGGCAGTGCCCATCAACTGACCACTAACACAGGCAGTGCCCATCAACTGACCACTAACACAGGCAGTGCCCATCAACTGACCACTAACACAGGCAGTGCCCATCAACTGACCACTAACACAGGCAGTGCCCATCAACTGACCACTAACACAGGCAGTGCCCATCAACTGACCACTAACACAGGCAGTACCCATCAACTGACCACTAACACAGGCAGTGCCCATCAACTGACCACTAACACAGGCAGTGCCCATCAACTGACCACTAACACAGGCAGTGCCCATCAACTGACCACTAACACAGGCAGTGCCCATCAACTGACCACTAACACAGGCAGTGCCCATCAACTGACCACTAACACAGGCAGTACCCATCAACTGACCACTAACACAGGCAGTACCCATCAACTGACCACTAACACAGGCAGTGCCCATCAACTGACCACTAACACAGGCAGTACCCATCAACTGACCACTAACACAGGCAGTGCTCATCAACTGACCACTAACATAGGCTGACTACTAAGCTTTTCTTCACATTGCTTTGTAACATATTTTGACTTGGTATTGTTTATTTAATGGGATAATAAAAATATTTGCAATATTGTATGTTTAATGTGTATCAAAACATCTGTTATACCTCTGTATTGATATATATATATATATATATATATATATATATATATATATATATATATATAATGTGTGTGTGTAAATCACGAAAATTAACACGTGATGAAAAATGTGACAGTGTCAGACCACGGAGGAAGAATTGAAACGGGAATTTCCTTAAGTACTTTCGTATATTAATACATCTTCAGAAGGAAATGAAGTTTTTCCTGTTTCAATTCTTCCTCCGTGGTCTGACACGGTCACATTTTTCATCACGTGTTAATTTTCGTGATTTACACACACACACACATTATATATATATATATATATATATATATATATATATACACATCTGTGACACATTTATACATTTCTTATAAAATAACTTATAATTATATAGGTCTCTATGGTGTGGAGATATATATGTCAGCCACATGAACATCATCTTTTTGTTCACTGTTACATCATTTGTGGTGATGTTAATTAACGTTTTGCTTTGTAAAAATATTTTCTTGATCGCTGTCCCACTCTTTATTTGAAAGCAATTTTATAGTTTCGACGTATTTTGGAATTTTGCAAGTATCATGTATATGTCCTCTGAATGGTATTATATACTGAGAAGATTAAGTTATTAATTTTAATTCTGAAGATTAGAGTGAGAGTTTAGAGTAGGAAAATATACAGCTTTATATCACAGATAAAATTTAAACCTTGATTCACATCCTAAGGATGTTAAAGGATAGAAACTAACATGGTGGAGATGGTGCTATGATAGAAGCAAAAATGACTGCTGTCTCCTTATTTTAACTGGCATTTGAGTGGGTTGTGTGGTAGAGTGTTTGTCCGGTGTTGGTCGAGCGTTTATCTCACAAGGTAAGGAAGTAGACCTTTACTACACCTGAAGAATGCCTTGCGTGGGGGCATTAGTGAACATTATCACTAAGTGAAAACTTTAATAACACTTAACACGAAATGATCTAGTTGCGACACTGTACAATATCACTGAGGACAACTCTGATAGCACTTCCTGTCGATATTGGCAACGTGTTTGTCTTTTGTTTACAACACTTGGGTGTTGGGACGTCGGGTGTCACAACACTAGGAGCAGTGTCGGGGTGTCACAACACTAGGAGCGGTGTCGGGGTGTCACAACACTAGGAGCGGTGTCGGGGTGTCACAACACTAGGAGCGGTGTCGGGGGTGTCACAACACTAGGAGCGGTGTCGGGGTGTCACAACACTAGGAGCGGTGTCGGGGTGTCACAACACTAGGAGCGGTGTCGGGGTGTCACAACACTAGGAGCGGTGTCGGGGGTGTCACAACACTAGGAGCGGTGTCGGGGTGTCACAACACTAGGAGCGGTGTCGGGGTGTCACAACACTAGGAGCGGTGTCAGAGTACCGGGTGTTGCAAGACCTGGAGCAGGTGTCGGGGTGTCGGTATAAACTATTATTTCTTAACCCGGGAGATCCAGGGCGTGAGGTCGAGCCCCGGGATGCCGGGACTGTCACAAGGAACTCTCTCGTTCCTGGAATAAACAAAGTCAACAGTTTAACGCACGTCCTACGCATAAATAAACCAAAATATATAAATTAATCTAAAATATATAATCCGTCCAACTTGTGCCCCGATTCCTGAACCTTGAAATCATAATTGATTAATTTTACTAGGCTATTAACAGACATCATGGGAGTAAGACTTTCACGGTGTGTCAGACAACACCAATATTATTTTTTTCAGATAACGTGATCCCCACACATCACTAACTCCAGGCATGCACTGAGGGCTTTACTTTATGCATTTATATTGTTTATACTTCGTGAGAAACTCTAAATTACTATGAAATTGAAAAAAAAGAGGAAAGTAACATAACAAATTAGTAACTGAGATTTTCTCAAAGCCCATTAAGACAACCAACTATTAACAAACACAGAACGTCTATATCAACCGAGTATGTGTTACTATAATACATCACAGCCTCATGGTCAGATAGTATTTTTTGTGAGAATATGGACTATTGTTCATATATTGACGTAAAATGCAATTAGATAGTAGAATTTGGTACTATTCATTTTACAGTCTGAAAAAATAAAGCTAAAAAACAAACTTAAATATTCCTAGGCCTAGTATAATATATATATATATATATATATATATATATATATATATATATATATAATATATATATATATATATATATGCAATTGACGATCACAAAACACTGATCATTTTATGCGGAAAATCCACAGAGAAATATGAAATGAGGTGAACGTTTCGGCTTTGTTAAAGCCTTTGTCAACACCAGACTGACAGACATCAGTCAGTCTGGTGTTGACAAAGGCTTTAACAAAGCCGAAACGTTCACCTCATTTCATATTTCTCTGTGGATTTTCCGCATATATATATATATATATATATATATATATATATATATATATATATATATATATATATATATATATATATATATATATATATATATATATATATATTAGGCCTCAGATAGCGGTATTTGGCCTAGGAAGGTTAGGTTAGTTTAGTTTAAATTTTCTTAGGAACATAAATACAAAACATTTTCCGGTTTGTCCAAATTCAATAGGACCAATTTCAACTTTTTAATTGCATTTTACGTCAATATATTCGCGAGGGTCCTCATCGTTACTACAAGTACTACCTAAACAGGAGGATGAGCTGTATAGTTTTTAAAACATCTTAAATAAATTACAAATATATTGTGTATCTTAGCAGTATCTATGAATGGGGAGTTGAGAGATATGTTAGTAGTGAGTTACCTAGGCCTAAGCACCCGAACGCATTTGTCCGGACACAGTTACCTTCAAACGCCTGGATTCAGAGCGCGCGTTTTTCGCTAGTTGTACTCGGGACGGCGTGAAGCGAGGAAAGATAGTCTAGTGATCTCTTGAGAGCAGTTGCTCATTTAAGTTGGTTTTGTTTCAGTATAACTAGGATAGAAGTAGGTGTTATTCAAATGTGTAGCTACTGTGGAGCGCTAGTCGGCCTTTCTTGTTACTTTATGTTCACCTGATTTGGCCCTAAATACTGGACCGGTCACGTGTTCTAATGAGAGTGTATGTTTGAAGATTAATTGTATTATAGGCCGTGGAATATATTACTGGTTTTAGTTGAGTTACTCTTTAATTGTCCTGATTCGCCGTTTTTTCTCTCTGCACGGAGAACGCGTGGGACCTTCAGCACTAAACGATTACGACCCGATATTGTTACGGTGCCCTCTCCTATTTCTTTCGTTTGCCTGCTTTAAGAGTCATATCAGCTCTCCCTATTGATTCTCTGAGGTACAGGGAATCTGTTGATATCTGGCGGCCGGTCTGATCGCCACATATAAGGGAGAAATTTACATTATAAGTTGTAGGTAAGGGGAAAGTGGCACCCTGATATAAAATGAAAGAGTATCCCCTACTGCACTTTTTTTACGGGCTCACCATAGCCCGTGCTACATGGACACTTCGTCCTGAGTAGCTAAATCTTTAACAACAACAACCCTACTGCAGATATGACGTTTTGTAAGGGACACTAGCCGATCGTGGATTGGCCGACTTAGGTCGCTGGCGACCAATCAGAGCCCGCCGTGACGTCACCGAGTGCCCCGAGCGGCGCCAACGTCAGAGTTGACCTGACTGTGGAGGTCAGAGGATGCGCCTCGGTCAGCTCTCGAGGATTTGAGGCTCTACAAGCCTTATTCAGTGGATTAAACTAGCCATCGTAGTCCACCATGAGTTATTGGAGACCCTGTGCTTCTGGGAAGCAAAAAGGAATCAAGTTCATTGAGCAAAGGAGTGCCAAACTTGGAAAATAGTCGGCGACGACGCTGGGCGGCGCCGCTGGACGTTGAGGTCTGGAAGGTGCGGCGGGCAGGCTTAGCTGTGACCGGGTCACATCCACTGAGGGTTTTGGAAGGACGACACCGTTCCTAGGACGAGGATCAACGCCTTGTGAAAAGGACGAGTGTGTGAATATAGTGATTAGCTCAGTGCCCATTGGTGAACCAGGATTGGGATAGCTGAATCTCTGGGATTGGAACGGCGACGACGCGAAGGCTTCACGTCACCTGAGGTCCTGTGGAACGTTCCTGGATCGTCAAGGATCGACTCAGGAAGCGTGGGAACCTCACACCATCGAGGGACAGGCGTCGTGAGCCAGGAATGTAAGGTAGATCAATTTTCCCTCCCATTACCCCTTGTGTGAGTAGGCTAGTTAGGCCACAATATTTACTTATGTATGTGGCAATAGGACATTAATACTTTAGTAGTAGAATAGGCTGCAGGGCAGCTTGTGTACAGGACTGTTGGAGAGGACAGTGTGTGTGGACGGCAGGACAGTTGAAGAAGAGGTGCCGACGTGGCGAAGAGGCCCCTTCTGTGAGAGAATGTGACTCCTGTCTAATCCGCCCAGTTGAAGGAGTGGTTGGAGGTCGTGAAAGAAGAGTTGCTGAAGATCTCCAGTTTTATTATCCTTATTTTCATTTTCATGTATTGCGTGTGATTGTATGTTTGATCATGTAATTGTGTCAGTAAATTCACACATTTTACCATTGTGTTTAAGTGTGCCTCCATTATAACATTCTCTATGAGCATACACGTGGGTTATCATAGTACCACCTAGGGAACGTCGTGTTCTCTATAGAAGTTCTTATCACCTGGAGAGTGGTAAAGCAGCACAGACTTATATAAGAGTGTACCCTTAGCCATCCGGCTAGTATCAGAGCCTGACTGGTGGCAACAGGTAACGTAGTGGCTGGAGAGAGGTAAAGCCACACAGACTTTTATGGGAGAGTACCCTGGGCCGACAGTCCAATAGCAGATCTATGGGAGTAGCAACACTCTGGCAACAAACAGTATAGAATACACCCACTGAACTGCATCGCTGGGGTGCAGATATACTAACCCAGCTGGCGACCTTGTTAAGAAGAAGATAGAGAAGGCAGGCGGGAAAGGAGTTCCTGCAACCTTTTTGTCTGGCAGGCAAGACTCAGGGGAATTTATTGTTATAAGGTAAGCCCGAGTCTTCCTTCACTTCTCCATGGGTCTAGGCCGGAACTGCTGATAGCAGTTTCCCCGTGGTTGACTGAAGGGCTTCCAGGGTGAATCAGTGGCACCCCCTTTAGTGTTGGAAGCAAAGACCTGCGGTGGTGGGCATTGCTGGTCCTCTCCAGTGGGACCAAGGAGACTCCGGTGAATCCCGGGAGTCGGAGGGGCTGTGTATTCTGCCTTCTGAGCCCCTAGCAGCCGAGTGCTAGCGGAGCTCCGGCGCACCCCCCCCCCCCCCCCCCCCCCCGTGACAATATATACGAGCCCATAACAGGCCAGATACAACTTTTATACAAAAATCCGACTACTGGACGTAACCAGACACAATATAGAGAGTAACTTACAGTCCCCGAGGCTGACGGAAGGCGAGGGGCTGGACGTAGCCCAACATGTCGCCAGTCTCACACAGGACGCGCGCCCATGACATCATCCGGATAGAGTTGAGTTGTGCTGTAAGAATGTTATAGTATATATATGATGCAGTTACTAAGGTAATATTGCCTTAACACAGTTGTGGTACAAGTGTGACTTTATATGGTATAGTTACAAAGATAATGTCACATTTGTACCACAACTGTGAATTAAGGCAATATTACCTTAGTAACTACATTTGTGGGAAATTCACCCACTTTCAATATTATAATTTAAGAAATAATTATTTATATATCACATCTATATCCTACATCAGAATTAAAATTCTACATCTATTGATCATACATAAATCCTAAATGAATACTACATGGTCACATCCACCGTTGTTCCCATTGGTGCCTACGTGACTTTGTCCGTGTGGCTTCAAGGCTCTGGTAGCTTCGAGAAGAATCTTATCCTAATTAAAAAAGTATTGTAACATCAATTGACTTTCGGTGATGGATATTCCAAATCTATTACAAGGAATCGATTTGTACGATTGATCGGATGGATTACGAGAACTTTCAAATCCAGGGATCCCATCACAATGGTTGTACTCTTCAAGTCACTTGTGTTGTCCCGTCTTGAGTACTGCTCAGTACTCACTTCCCCCTTCAGAGCAGGAGAGATTGCTGAAATAGAGGGAATACAGAGAACATATACGGCACGCATAGACGTGATAAAGCACCTAAATTATTGGGATCATCTCAAAGCTCTCCAAATGTACTATCAAGAAAGAAGACGAGAGAGATACCAAATAATATACACGTGGAAGATACTGGAGGGCCAAGTACCAAATCTACACAGTAAAATAACAACGTACTGGAGTGAACAATATGGAAGAAAATGCAGAATAGAACCAATGAAGAGCAGAGGTGCCATAGGCACAATCAAAGAACACTGTATAAACATCAGAGGTCCACGGTTGTTCAACGTCCTCTCAGCAAGCATAAGAAATATTGCCAGAATAACCGTGGACATCTTCAAGAGGAAACTAGATTGTTTCCTCCAAGGAGTGCCGGACCAACCGGGCTGTGGTGGGTATGTGGGCCTGCGGGCCGCTCCAAGCAACAGCCTGGTGGACCAAACTCTCACAAGTCAAGCCTGGCCTCGAGCCGGACTTGGGGAATAGAAGAACTCCCAGAACCCCATCAACCAGGTACTATAGGTACTACCTATAATAATTGAATCCAATATATATTTACCTTAATAATCTGTCTAGACAATAAAAATAACCAATCAATAATCATTGAAGGATTTTCCTCCTGGAAAGAGGGAAGAGCCGCTTCAGAGAGCAAGCGTCCCCCACCGCCTGGAGCACAAGATCTGTGTTTACACTCAACAGTGTGTACACGTGTGCGGTACTCAAGACAACTTCCACGAGACAATACTGCACAAACTGATCTTAATCCTGTGATAGCTTCCTAGATAATCTGGGAGTTCCTGAACTATAATCTAATCTATAAATCAATCATAATAACTCATCTTAAGAGGAGCGAGGACGAGTCCATGTGTAAAGGGACTTGCCACGCTTCCATCATCATCATAATCTTATCACTGCAACTGCTATAAGTGAATATATCCAACAGCAAAGCTGCCATATTTCATCAAAATGCAGAATCTTCTCATCAAAAAATCTATATAATCTGACAACTTTTCAGATAGGCTTCAGTTCTCAATTTTTGAATAAGTAATTGTTTTGTAGTGTAAATTGGCCAATTGCCTGCTTAAATCCTTAATGTCCATATAAATTGTTAATAGTAACAAAGCGGGGTAACTAATCTGATTATATATATATATATAAATATCTGCATATATATAATTTATCAGATTCAGCAGTTTATCAATTTCTATCATAGTTAACATCAATTTATTGTAGTAGTTTAGCATTTTTGCATATAATTTCTTGTTTGTATAATTCAACTACTTGTTGTGATAATTACTAGTATTTCATTATTGTTGTAAGATCTCAGAGCTAGGCTAGACTGTGTACAGTGTTCAGATCTTTTCATTATAGAGCAGAACCAGTCTTTAGTCATAGAACTGTGTATATCATTTCATTCATTGTATAAAATACAATGCTGAAATGCCTTCAGTAGATTTTGTTTTTCCAATCAGAAACAAAGATCACCCTTAAGGAACTCTTCCTGCCCCCCACAGCCCACTTTCCTTCCTAGGATAGAGGAGATGGATTTACAACCCATCTAAGGACATTTGTAAAAGCTAAGGTATTTAGTCTTATTTTGCATGCTTAATGTAGAGTAATTATTAATTAATTTCTGGTCCATATAATTCTCTTCTTTAATTTATCCTGGCATTTTTTCCATGCCATATGTACCACAAATGTGCGTTAAGGCAACATTACTTTAGTAACTCCACCACACGTCACATTTGTATCACAATCCTGCCACACGTTACGTGTGGCAGGATTCAGTAATTGTTCATCTTAGCACTAGACAATATTTTTACTCATTCTATGTATAGAAATTGGTGGTTGGCAGATTAAAATTTTGTTTTCAGCGAGTCCATACACCGTAATGAAAAGGGCCTCTATTGTACAACAGTTAAAATAAAAATAAACTTAATTTTATTTGTAATTGCGTGATGTGTCACAAGAAATAAAATGTAAACAGACCTTCAGAAAATGAAGACGGCATGCCTGCCAGGTCGTAGAAGAACCTGTCTCCTCGCTTTAGGCGGGTGAACTGGTCGCCGATGATGCACCTGTGGCGGGAGAACATGTGATTGGTCAGTCATCCATCTGTGTGTGGCGGGAGAACACGTGATTGGTCAAACATCTCTGTGTGTGTGGCGGGAGAATACTTTAACCCTCTTAAATTAAACCAAGTGCAAGCGCACTAGTCAGATGGATTAAACAACAAATTCTATATATATAAATAAAACCCTCCTCCCATGCCCTCTCACCTGAAGGTGGGTCCAACAAGAGCCCCCGGTGCGGGCCGCTCAGAGATACCGGCCACGAAGGGGTCGATGTCATCAACAGAGGCGTAGAGCTGCTGGAACACGTTCACCACCTGTACAGGGAGCAGTGATCTCATCTTAGTGGAGGCTGCAGGTGGGAGATGTGTGGCCCGGGCCTCCCTGGTATGTCTAGTGGGTCTCACACACCATAAGTTAGGTGGGAGGCCAATGTTAACGCTTGGAGGCCCATGGGTGACATCCATGTTAGTGGCTGGAGAGCCATGTTTGAGGTGAGGTTTGTAGGAGAGTTCTGGGATGTCGAATATGGTGGTGTTCGTTACCTTAGTGATTGTAGTAACAACATCATAGGGTGTAGATGGTGTCAATGATGACACCACTCATTTATTTTATGTTTTTACTAAATGGTGTACCGGGCATTGCCCGGATTGATTCCAAAACGTTGCGCCATTTAAGCGGAGGGCAGCAAAAGGTTGTTGCCATAAGGGCCGACCTCGACCCACCTATGACAAACCTTGCTCTATATTTATATGACTTAAGGTGAAGTAAAGTAATAAAACCAGGGTCTCGGTCAGCAACCTTCCACCGATTTCGTAGAGGTCGACACGAAGGCCGAACCCGTTATACTGCGGCAGACCCTGACCAGCCTATGTACACTATCACCATCAAGCAAAGTTGACTGAGGTTATTATTATTTATTATTAACATCTTTATTGACAAAATTAATTACAATTTTGCCTAATCTGAGGATTTTGATAGTCTTATTAAATTGAGGTTAATGCTAGTATTCACTGTCACGCAGGACAGAGGGGTCATACATAAGACAATAGGTCTAAACTGTAGGCTGAAGCACATATATATCACGGTTACAGTCAATGTTTTAATGTGTGGATATGTGAAAACAACTTTCTATTGTGCACTGCCACACAAGTGCAGGGATGGGTTCATAAGTGATACAGCTTAGAATATAAGTAGAAATTGTTCTTCATTCTTTAAAATGGACAAGCAAATTTTGGGTAAATTGTTAGGATGTCGTCCAGAACACCTGAGTCAATAAAATAGTTACACAGTTGGTGGTACAATAGGCCAGGAGGTCTAAAGTCCTTTACGGTTTCACATTCATCAATATAGTGTTCTAGTGAATGCATTAAAGGTTTATCACAGAGTTTACAATCTGAATATTCTGGTAGTGGCTCAGCCTCACTAACCTGCCAGATGTGTCTATAGCCAAGGCGAATTCGCGCAATTACTACATCACATTGCCTGGTCCGGTTACTGTGCTGACCATACAAATACCTATTATTACAGAACTTGTCATAACTTTTAATACTGCAGCTTTCAGGTCTCTGTGCATTTCTTAGTTCTTCTAAATCTGAATTAATTTCTTTAATTTGTATGTTTCTAATAACTGCATTAGATAGTCCAAAATCATAATCAATGTTTTCTTTCCTGCAAGCCTCATTGGCCAATTGATCTACAAAGTCATGTTTTTCAACTCCAACATGGGATGGGATCCACACAAATTTTATACAAGAATTATTATCATTGGCAAAAATTACATTCCATTTAATATTACAAGCTACTTCCGACATACATTGTGATGGGTTATTTAAGGACTGCAGAGCACTTTTAGAGTCACAGAAAATAACTCCACCACCATTGAGCTCCAAGTGTCTGGCCCTCAACTTGGCCACAAAGACAGTCTCTCTTGTATAGAAATAGATAAGTGGATATAATAATGAATTATTTTCTTGAAATATATGTATGCATCTCTATCTCTTTATTTCCAAGCCTTACCTCCGGCCGGATAACGTCGAGCAGGTCTGCGAAGGTCCTGGCCCTTGGAAGTCCGCAAGCTTCTCTCAGTTTATTATAGGGAGCGATGCCGTGGTCGCGGCCCCGCTGGGTGTTGAGGGCCACCAGGTCCATCCCGAAGGGCATCTGTGGAGTCTGAAACACCAACAGTTGCTGCTGAAACTGTTCATGGACTGCGTTGCCAAACAACCTTTATACCCCTATGTTAACATACCTTTACATATAACATACCTTATACCCCTATGTTAACACCACGGAGGAACATAAGCAACAATTCTGATTGTCATTTAGATGTGATATTTAATTTGTAGCTTACATCTCCAGGAGTAAAATAGTGATTGAATGCATTCATAAGTTTAGATTTTGGAAAGATTTGGGTCAATACTGATTTGAGAGCAAGGTTGTTGATTTGTGGAACTGATTACCGTGAAAGGAGGAAGTTTTCAAGGGGAAAGCACCAAGCCATTACGACTATATAGCACTGGGAAAGGGGTCAGGATAAGGATTTGGGGATGGGATGGGGGAAAGAAGGAACAGTACCCAACCACCTGGACGGTCGGGGATTGAACGCCGACCTGCATGAAGCGAGACCGTCGCTCTACCGTCCAGCCCAAATGGTTGGGTAGATTACCAGGAAACATAACAGATCACATGATTGTTTGAAGCCTAGGATATACTGATTGCTGCATTCAGGTTTGATTGCTACTAGCCTTGTATAGGTTAATATAGGCTTCCTACAGTTTCCCTTACTCTTATGTAAAGGAAACGTTATGTATATAACGTCTATGTTAAGTATATGTTATAAGAACCCATCTTCATTTTGGTAACATACTGCATTGATTTTATTTTTTTTAACTAAACAACTCGGTTTAAAAAAATGGAATAGAGAACGAAAATATTATAAGTGGTCAAAACGAAAATCAAAACTCAATCTAGCCTAACCTAGTATAGCCTATGCCTAAAATAACTTCACCTAAGCTTAGGTAGGCGTCTATCAGATTATATAAGCTTTGGTTATGCTAGCCTAGGTCTAGATTAGGTCACAATGACTTAATTTGAATTTTCCTCCCTATAAAGGTTTCCTCTTTGTCATTTTGTGTTTGTACTAAATAGTTAAGACAATTAACTTTTCAGCTTATATATAGGCGGATTATAAAGATAAGACTGGGTTAATTATCTAGACCTTTTCAAGAAACTAGATAGATAAAAGTGATAAATTGTTTAGCAAATAAAACATTGAGAATATTTTAATCCTAAGTGTTAAATTTAATTTTTTTTACTCAGAGGTGCTAATTGTTGTAGTAATAAATAATTAAATGTGGCACATTGCAGAGAAAACATATCTATAAAAATAAGAAGTATACACAAAATTATAAATATATATAAACTCCTAGTGTTGGGTCCGTAGGGTTAGCCAGCTCCAACATAATGGTTCCAATACGTACCCAAACCTACTTATTTTTGCTGTTGAAATGATAATGAATGTGCAACGTAAAACATGAAAACTTCCTTTTAATCAAAATCAGCTCATCTTATAATGAAATAAGTTGAGCTGCAGGCTTTGTCTTTTCTAAATCATTTAATGTTTTGTGCAACCTATTTTTATCTTGTTCAAAAATAGCTTATTTCTGATTAAAGTGTTTTCACATCGTTCATTATTGCATTCCCTATCACCAACATTGTCAAGAACATTCTCAGCGTCAAGAAACCCTCGTACTAAAGTGCCCTTATCCTAATCTGTCAGAGAACTCAAAACAGAAAACGAGACAGTATGTCAGTTTCGCGAGCCGACTTCTGACGTCGGTATCCAAAGGGCTTGGAAAAGATGGGGAGAGGAAGAAGGATGAGAAATTAAAAGTTTTGAAGAGGATTTAGATGGGAAACGAGGAGGCTTTAAAGTTCTGGCCTGGTAATATGTTTATTGTTTGTGATGTGTTTATATGTATGAAAGTTCGATAGCTTGGCCATTTGTGTGTATTTTACCTCAATAAACTTATTTCAATTTCAATATCCACCATAGGTTGGCATCAAGTATAGATCTCGGAGTGGAGTTTGTTGTTGAGTTCTACTTCTGTGGCAGGGGGGCTTGTGGGCTTGCGGTTGGTGTCGATGGTGGTGTAGGTGAGGTGCTGTGTCTGGCTTGGAGGAGGTGTATGTCTTCCCATGTGAGGTGGTACACGTCTTGCTGTTCTACTGCATTTGTTTTGATGATCGGCGTTCATGCTCCAGGTGGCGCTTGATTAGTACGCACCATAACTTTGGCAGTTTGGTTCCTTCCGAAGCCTCTTCCTCTTCCTGGAAATCGAATGGTTCATCAGGGCATCTTCTATTGAAGTCCAGGTTGTAGTACTCCTTCTTCAGGATGGTGAGGACCAGAAAGAAGTGCATGGCGGTGGAGTGGACGAACACCGAGTTGCTGTCTGGTCGTGCGGTTATGCCTGAAACCCCCCCTTCCCGTATGAACATAGTGGGCATAACAGGGACTTCTTTATCCTTCGTTGGATTCCTCGTCGTCGGATCGGTGTAGGTGACTTCTAAGTCCTCGTTGTTGGTTGGTTCAGTTACTGGTGTTGCTACAGTTGAAGACTCCTGTTTTGTCTTCTTGGATTTCGGTCGTGTGCTGGCGGAGGGAGTTGAGGTTGCCACTGGATGATGATCCTCCAGGTCCGAAGTGGTGTCAGTCGATGTCGTTGCTACAGCTTCTGGTGATGGGGTCCGTTCTGGTTGGGTTGGGGGTAGCGTGTGGAGTCTGCAGTAGGTCCGCCGGAACTGACATCATGGATAGCCCGTTTGCAGAGGGCATTCTGTTGAGTACTTTCACGTACTTGGTGATATCTGTTTACGGCAGTTTCTTCGCAAGGTGGATCAGTACAGGGACCAAAGTGATGGCGGCCGGGGCTGCTGATTGGCTGGTGATCTGGGCCGTCATCGCCTGTGTGCTGGCGATGACGTAGAGGGGGGGGGGGGCAGGAGCTGGTGCGGAGAAGCTCGTAGCAGCTGAGTTTGGAAGTGTTGGGAACGTCGCGGCCTGGATGTTGAAGCTCGCAGGCTGATTGGTGGTTGGCCTCGTAGGTGCCTACTTCTGTTCTTGATGGGCAATCCATGGAAATAGCGGTGTGGGACCCACCGCAAGTGATGCAGTTGGATGGTCGACTGACAGTCCTTGTAGTGATGCTCCTGTGTGCAGATGCTGCATTTGTCCTCGGTTAGCTCACAGTTCTGAGTGTAGTGGTCGTACTTTGTTTTGTACGACCACTACACTCGGAATTATGTACTCTACTTTGAGTATGAGAAGGACCTTGAAAGGCTTCTGACCCACTACAACGCCATCAAGGAAGTGCACCTCAAGACCCACTTTCCACGCTAATTCCGGGTCGCAAGAACGGTCTTCATTAACGAAACCAGCCGATGGATCACTGACAAGCCAATATAGGATATCTTCGTCAGTGTTGAGGCTGAAAACAAGAAGGTATTTTCTGGGGTGCTCCTCAGCGGCTTCGACGGTAAGCGCCCAACCTTGAACCTCACCTTCAACTCAATAGCAGCAGCTACCCAATCCATCACTCTAGAACTCACCTGCTTCAGCATCAAGATACTGTTCTACCGTGTGAAGAAGGAACGCATCTACGAGATTCAACAGGGTTTCAGGTGCTACAAGTTCTCCCACCTCACAAACAAATGTCAGCATCCAGTCCAGACGTGCAGCCTCTGCGTTGAGGACCATCACTACACAATCTGAAAGTCAAACTTTCAATGCTGCCTGCTCTGCAAAGACGCCCCACCCAGCGATTTCCTACCATTACCTCTCCACTACCATCTCCATCACTTCAACTCCCGCCGACAAACCAGATTTCTACCAAATACTACCTTCTACTTCTGCTTCAGACGCCGACTTCCCAGTTCTACCAAACAGGGGTCCCACCCACCAGATAACCTGGTCTTTCCTTTGGGGAACTAAGGACCAATCAGTACCCCTCCCAGCCCCCGCGCCTCACGCGACGGCATTATATCCAGTATGATTCGCCTAGCTCACAGTCCCTCTCCTGTGCCAGGTAGGTCCACTGTGGGCTCACCGTACATACGTGCTATTTGGAACTTTTTATTCCGAGTAGCTGAATCTAAAACAACAACAACGCCTAGCTGAGAAGCTCACTGGACCAGATAACCGCCGGTTCGTCATTGAACTTAACACACTGTACCTTGTCAATGGCCTGGACCCCCATCATTGCTCCTGATGCCAGTCTCACCGCCTCCACTTCAGGGAGACTTTTATACGTACACCAACGAGGATTATCACCACCCAGACTCCAGCACCACCTAAGACCTAGTCTGCACCAACAGAGACATTTTCCTCTCCAGCCTCCAACGTTTTTACCATCTGATCTCGGCCGCTTTCAGGCTATTCATGCCCGTGCCACCTCTTGGGTGGCTTAATCTTCATCAGTCAATCATCTCGGCCGCTGCGTTCACTGGCGTATTAGCCCTCCTACTAGCAACTCCACCAACGCTCCCGTGGCAACGCTCCTTACGGCACCAGTGCACCTCCCAGACTGTGCAACAGACGTCAAATCCATTAGCTACAGACGATGCCTCAGATTCTTCGAGGAAATCTCGGTACGAGCAACATCGCCACACCTCCAATTCCACTCCTTTGACATCCCAAATCTTCTCATGGAGGCCTCCACTCCAGTCTCCAACAACAGAACGGCTAAGTCAACGCATCGCAAGACAGAGGAAGAAGAACAAGAAGGTGATGACCTAGAAACAAGTACATTACCAGCCCCAAAACGAACTGCCCGGCCTCCTGTTAGACACATCTGCAAGCAACCATGAGAACCCCGCCCTCCCACCAAGCCACAGCGCCAGCCACAAGTCTTAGCCAAGGTGGTTGGGACACCGAGCAACATCTCTCTCCTCCGACTTGTATCCTGTTTGTGAGAGTGTCTCTCAAGATTCTCCCACAGCTGACTAGAATGGCTCATTGCAGTGCACAGTGCACCGATCTTGTGCACAAGCTTATCTCTCTTAACCCTGGATAGTGACCTGGCATGTTGGGTATCTCCAGAATGCCCACTTAACCAGGAACACGTTTGTAATATGGAGGCCGCCGTATGTCCAGGCAGGAAGTAGATACAGGGAAGTTAAGCATACTTGCCACAAAGGGTCAGTGAGTACATTGGCCAGTGCGGACCGTGAGAGAGGAGAGGGGACGCCTGCGAGGCGACCGCCTGACCTCTGGGGTCAACCGGTGCGTTGGAGAATAACAGCTGTGACGTGGTCGTGACGTGTTCATGACGTCACCTCTCCTACTGATCAGGGAACGGTCATTATGATTGGCTCCCGCCCATTTGCTGCAATGCTACTGGTCAAATTGTAACCTTTTGTGTTTTGTGCCACAAGATGCCCAGCAGCCCTTGCAGAGCATTCTCGTGAGGAAGCTCTTGCATAGAGGACGTGTCCTGTTCTGTCTATCAGCCAATAGACTGAACACCATCCATTCCTCCCCATCAAGTTAACTCAGGGTCTTTTCAATATACCCACACTCACTGAGAATCACGATTGTGAATATATTGTTCAGAAGCCTATAGTGACAAAATCACCAGAGCGAAACAGACTGGTATCAGGTAACCCCTGGTGACAAAGATCGTTGTGAGTGACCTAGAGTGAACTAAGGCAGTGCTGCCACCTAAGTAATCTGTGTGTGACTTTACCACAGTGTACCTGTACCACAGTGTACAGTGTAGTGCATGGTACCATATAACATGCAGCCGCCACTCTGTCCCGAGCGTGTAGCCTGCCGCCCTCACTGTACTACGTGACGTCACCACCTTACTCACCGCCAGTGCCAGAGTGTGTGCGTGTGTCTGTGACATACAGCCCACCCTCCTGCGAGTACCCCCGTGCCAAGTACGGATTGTGGGAAACCTGTCGTCAATGGTCTCACTTCAGAACGAGGAAACCAGCTATCAGGCCACCTATGAGTGCTTTCATAAATGTGACTGAGTGAGTGAGTGAATAAGAGAGGTACCCTATCTGTAAGTACAAGATCTTGTCATAGTTTATTGTGTCTGTGTTGATCTGAGGGATCAACCACAGTCTCACCTTCTCATACCTGTCACAGGTCATAGGTGAATCGACAGTGTATGCGTGTTATCTGTGTGGTATCACGGCATTTCACTCGTCTGTGAATGTGAGCTTCACATACACCACACATTTAGTTATTGTGTGACATTATTATTGTGCATGTTATTGCCTGTCCCATTGACAGTTCCATTGTGTTTATTGCATATCATCATTACCCGAGTATCCGGTTGGAACTCTTGTGATCCCTTTGCATACCGGCAGTTAGGTTGCCGTGTTAATGATTGGCTGTCAATTGTGTCAAGTTAGGTGTTTCGCCACGAGTGGATACGAGTAGATTAGCTAGACGTCAAGAGTCTCGCTAATGCAACCATAGCCTTTCTGACGCCAATCTAAAGTAAATCAAGCACCCTTTGTATTAGTGGTTAAGTTAGTAAATAAACTACTGTTAAACTTTATGCGGTGTTTCCGTTGAACCACTTCTGAATACTGCCAACATTACTCAAGCCTTCAGCTCTAAGTGTCTTTAACACCGAGTTGCCTATATTTACTAAACTATAAATGTGATGAGGACCCTAGGAGTCCCTTAAAGTGTTTAATCATTGAGGAGATTCCAACGATCAACGTGGAGCAGGACCATGTGAGGCTAGTCTGAGAAGAGACCCTCAAGGACTCTAACTCGACCTTGCTCCCAAGCCCTGTACGGTTGCTCTCGTATTTTTTATTCTGCTAATTCCGACAGTTTCGTGAAGCGTCTGCCACATGAACGTTGGTGACGTACGCATTGCAGTCGTGAAAGCAAAAAAGAAAACCCCCGCACTGTTCCCTGCTCATGCTTTCCGCATCCTCGCCCCAGCCTTCCATTCCCTGCTTATCTGCCCTAGGGGTCCTTGGAACTTGGAACTTGGTCGTTCTTGTAGCACTTAAAGCACTAACGAAGTTGGAGGTAACATTCCTTCTTGACGGTGTCCGGGTGATCGATATGTCGAGGCATCTGAAGCAGTTTTCTACTGCTTGAGTTGTTGCTGCAGCTGTAGAGAAGGTCACCTTCAAGGTAGGTCGTAGATTGACGTCGTTCTTGATGACTTCAAATTTGTCTGCAGTCAGAGCCGGGTTCTTGTTGTTGATGCTCTTCAATATATTGGCAGGTTCCTGGGTGGCGATGAAGACGCTGGTGTCGCTGACGAAAACATTTCTGTCAGCCAGGTAGCGACGAGTTGGTGAGATGATCAAGTCAGAGTCTCGAAGGACTTAATGGGGTTCTGGAGCAAACAGTTATTCCAGAGCTTCCTCACTTGTATAGGAGAGTTCTGTGCCGACGCCGTCGGCGCGGATGTTCACTAGTGCTGCGTTGATGATCTCGACTATTTTCGACAGTATCTGGGGCCGGGTGAAGGTGGTTTCACCTCGGAATCTAACTTTAATCCGGTGAATCCTGATAGAGTGAAGGCGCATGCACGATGTGAGGGAGGGGGGGGGGGGGTAAGAGAGACTAATTTATGCCTATCTTTCACGAGCCACTTCCATTTTCTAGTATGTTGATTAGTTAGAGTATGCGTCAAAATGCGACCTTCTGTTAGGAGGACAGGTTAGATGGAGAAGCTGACGGCACTCTGTTATTATCAAAGTTAAAATTCAAATCTGAGGCGTTAAGTGCTAATCTAATTTGCTTATAAATTAATAATTACTTGAAGCACCTCTTTGAAGCATACACTATACAAGGCAATCTATTATAAGCTTGGATTTCTGCTCTAGTTATCCATCGCTCTCTCTCTACTTCTTTACCAAACAGCAGTAAATCTTACGTATTTCTATCTCCGCGCTCTGAAACTTATTACTGAAAGCGAGTTAATCCAGTTTTCTAGCTTGTATCTTCAACTGAACTTCAAACCTAAATTTGTATGAAACTAATTCAGTAGACTTAATGTACACATTTCTGAATGCATGCTCTTACACAAACCATTCCAAGCATATCTGACAATAAAGGTAAAAAGTTGTAGTGGCATGAAGCAGTCATTCTGCAAACGATATAAATAAGCCGCCCGTCCTCATAAACAAAGGTCAAACTCCATTTCATACACCCGCCAAACCAGCCGTTTATGAATGAAAAACGGTTTACAAATGACTCACAACTGATGACGTCCGAACACTTCCGGAAGCTGACGAATTTTGTTCGAAGCACAACGCTGTAAATGCTTCACCACGTACTACAAATACAAATAATCTCCAACAAAACCTAAATACCCAACTTAGACTCCTGGTTCAACCTTGACACGGAGCAGACGTCTAGACGCCTCCTCCGCCTTGGAGTCACCGATTCACGTTTGGTTTTGCGATTTTGGATTTGATATTGCCGTTTAGCATTCCTCTTCAACGGTCAGGTTTGTACAACGCCTGGCGCATATACCGCTTTGGTCATCGAGTTATTGATAGATTTCTTTTACGTGTTCTGGCTGGTTCTCCCGGCGGGGTGACAGTGTCCGGCGCTGTCTTGGCCGAGAGGTGCCGGGAGTTGGTGGGCTCTGGGTGTGCCCTCAGCGGTGGTAGGCAGATGGCTTATGCTCTGTCTGGGGGGGGGGGGATCACTGGATAACTTTTGTGTTTTAGCTGGGGCCGAGTTTTTGGTTTTGCTACCCCAGTGTTCTCTGTGAGGGGCGGGGCCGGTGCTTGTCACCCTGAGGGACTCCTAGGGCTCTCCAGTGTTCTCTGTGAGGGGCGGGGCCGGTGCTTGTCACCCTGAGGGACTCCTGGGGCTCCCCAGTGTTCTCTGTGAGGGGCGGGGCCGGTGCTTGTCACCCTGAGGGACTCCTGGGGCTCCCCAATCATCTGCCTGTCTGCATTTCTTTGCCACGAGGGATATTAGTTTCCAGTGATTGGCATCACTCATTTCGCGATTAGGCTTGGCGTTTCACCTTGCCGGGCTTTGCGATTAACTCTTCGTGGGTACGCCGGGGCGTATCCGATCCCACGATCGTCGTCGTCCCTAAATCAACACCACCACCACCTAACATAACCAATGCCTAAATATGCACAGTATGCTAATTTATAACACTATTTATATTTGAGAAAATGCCTATTTTGAAAGAATAGCATGTTAACATGTATGAATGTGTCTTTGGGGCTGACCGCTGGATGGAATGGACAAGGTCTGAAGATTGATTGGGATAGAAGATTATCTTAATAGTCTTCCAATAATGAGCATCGAGAATGAAACATTTAGAGACCTTTAGTTTTTGCAAATCATTGACAAGATTAGCTGACAGAAAATGAATAAAAAGGGCGTGTAATGGTACCCGTGTCGTTTCCTTTATGTAGAAAATGGAACTAGTGAGAGAGATGGCAGACCCCCAAAATTTACCGTTATTTCTAAATTGCTTTAATCTTTGAATTAGTTTAAAAGTGAACGTTTGTTTCACTTACAATTCTGTGGTATATCATTCATGTAAGGTTTCTTCAATATGTCTTTATGTTTGATCGGAAAGGCAGTAACATACAATTAATATTGTTAATGTATCACTGAAAACATAAACCAAGATATACCTGGTTGATGGGGTTCTGGGAGTTCTTCTACTCCCCTAGCCCAGCCCGAGGCCAGACTTGACTTGTGAGAGTTTGGTCCACCAGGCTGTTGCTTGGAGCGGCCCGCAGGCCCACATACCCACCACAGCCCGGTTGGTCCGGCACTCCTTGGAGGAATAAATCTAGTTTCCTCTTGAAAATGTCCACGGTTGTTCCGGCAATATTTCTTATGCTTTCTATATGACCCTGATTATTTAATACGACCCTAATTCTGAACCCTAATATCTTGAGGGCTATTAGAGTCGAGGATGGTGGAAGGGTCGCCAAGGACTGGTGACTGGCACTAATGAGTAATACAATAATAAGATAAAGCAACTGACCTGGAAGAGCCTGTTAGTGAGTGAAGAAGTGACAAAGTTGTCAAACTGCTGGATGGGTTGTGTGGCCAGGCCCCGGAGGAACTGGTCCAGTCTGCCCGGGGTGTAGATGTGTTGCGGGTTGTTGAAGTTGTCGTGCAGCAGCAGCGTTCCTCCGTCCTTCATCCCCTTCTTCCCCACCAGCCTGCCGGAGGACGCACCACATTACTGTAGAATATTACTTTTTTCTAACCAATTATCTGCAACGTCACCAATTTGCATATGTCACGAGGCTCAAGAAAAGCTGTTGAAATTCAGTAACTATGAGAACAATGGGTACAAAATCTTGGTATATTAGTCATGAAGGGTACTCCATCTCAGAGGTGTTCATCAGGTCAAGATTGACTTTGGTCGTGAGAATATCTTTAATGCGAATGAAGAACTTTAAAAAATTCTCATTGCGTTCTCATGAATTTGCTTGTTTGTGATCTGATAAGCTTTAGTGAGTGTTGAAGACACGGGAGCATTACAATGCCTAGAACATAGTGCGAGTAGCAGTACTTAAGGTGGCTTGACGTAAACACGTGTAACGCTTCAGTACAGTTCCAGCCTACGACTGCACTGGGTAAAGGTCAGTGAGGATGCAAATTGGTAGGAGTAAGTGGTCGCTGAGGTAGCCACAGTTCTGCCACTTTGTGATAATCTGTGGTGCTGGACGGGTCGTCCATCTGGGAGTTAACGAGAGCCATCGATGGCAGTCACCGCTGATACAAAAAGAAGTCTTGGAAGATTTTTGATACTTTGTATTAACCTTCAGTAGTCATCAACAGGATAAAGTATTCTCCACTTACTCCCAAGAACGAATGTGATCCTGCACCAATGTTTGAACAATCATAATAGCTGCATGTCGTTCCTACCTGGATGTTTGGTGGTTGGGCATCGTTCCTTCACTCCCTCCTCCTACCCCAGTTCCTCCTCCTACTTCTCCTTCCCAAGTGCTGGTAAAGCCACACTGATCTAGTGCTTTCCAATGATAATTTCTTTTCCTTTTCACGATCCTTACTAAGGACTCGGGAATCTCATTTTAAGAAGTAATAGAATGTGACATCAGAAAAAATAAATTACTAGAACTACTTACAATAAAAGAATGCTTTTGGAACCCAGCATACAAGGAGAGACTATTGTTGGCTATACTCTGGAAGAAGACTCGTATTGGTCACTCACCGTATCATGCCCTGGACGAGGCTGGTCACTCACCGTATCATGCCCTGGACGAGGCTGGTCACTCACCGTATCATGCCCTGGACGAGGCTGGTCACTCACCGTATCATGCCCTGGACGAGGCTGGTCACTCACCGTATCATGCCCTGGACGAGGCTGGTCACTCACCGTATCATGCCCTGGACGAGGCTGGTCACTCACCGTATCATGCCCTGGACGAGGCTGGTCACTCACCGTATCATGCCCTGGACGAGGCTGGTCACTCACCGTATCATGCCCTGGACGAGGCTGGTCACTCACCGTATCATGCCCTGGACGAGGCTGGTCACTCACCGTATCATGCCCTGGACGAGGCTGGTCACTCACCGTATCATGCCCTGGACGAGGCTGGTCACTCACCGTATCATGCCCTGGACGAGGCTGGTCACTCACCGTATCATGCCCTGGACGAGGCTGGTCACTCACCGTATCATGCCCTGGACGAGGCTGGTCACTCACCGTATCATGCCCTGGACGAGGCTGGTCACTCACCGTATCATGCCCTGGACGAGGCTGGTCACTCACCGTATCATGCCCTGGACGAGGCTGGTCACTCACCGTATCATGCCCTGGACGAGGCTGGTCACTCACCGTATCATGCCCTGGACGAGGCTGGTCACTCACCGTATCATGCCCTGGACGAGGCTGGTCACTCACCGTATCATGCCCTGGACGAGGCTGGTCACTCACCGTATCATGCCCTGGACAAGGCTGTGGCCGAAGCGGAAGGCAGCGGTTGCGAACTCGTTCAGAACAGCTGCGTTAAGACTACTGTCATAGTCCCTGGAGAAGCCCTCTCGCTGTGGCAGGAGCCCGTTAGCAGCCATGTAGTCCTTGCCTGCAAGGTTACACCGGGGTCACGGAGGGGCAGGGTAGGGCACACAGCTACAGCTACTAATCAGCTACAACTACTAATCAGCTACATCATCTGCTATATTCAGCATTAACTATCACTTCAAATCAGCAATAATTATCAACTACTTCTTATACAATCAGTGGATTGAGGCCAAGAACCGGATATTAACCTAGGATAATAGGGAGCCACTCGTTGTAGATGATGTGCTGGTAGATGGCCACCACTATCCTCCTGGTCTCCTGGTAGATGGTCTCGTCTGACCAGTGGGGGTTGAGACGGGCCAGCTCCCGGGCGATGCGGTTGTGCATCCTCACCCACACGGTGTGGATGACAGAGAGGAGTATCTGCTCATTCACGCGGTTGTCGCCTGCGGGAGTCAATTAAGCAAGTTCAAGGTCAAATAGGTATTGGTCAGAGCTTGCGAGATATTCCCCAGAAATGACCAAAATTATATGGGAAAACTTCATAAAACACTAATCCAATATGTGTCCTAATACTGAACTTAAGAAAGTATTAATTTAAATTAGGAATGCATCTCAATCCCTTTCTAAAGATTAGAAGCCATACACAGGTGTGTGTGTGTGTGTGTGTGTGTGTGTGTGTGTGTGTGTGTGTGTGTGTGTGTGTGTGTAGTTGTACTCACCTGTGTGTGTGTGTGTGTGTCAACAGGTGTGTGTATCGGGCTCTGTATGTGTGTGTGTACCCACAGTAATATAGAGTGGGACTGTGTGTACGAGCCCTGTGGGACTCCACTGGTGACTTCACGCCAATCGGAAAAAACTGTTCTCAGATATAAACATACTCTATACTCGTCGAGGCAGCTGGGATAAGGATAATTAAGATTCTCCCTGATATATAATACTAACATAGACAATTAATACTGAATAATCCATAATGCTTGTGGATCTTAATAACAGTCCACAAAATATATTAAACTCAAGTTTAGCCATTATCAGTTTCTTTAAATTAAATTGTAGACAAACAACTATAGTCGAATCCGAAGCGCTGTCCACCCAGCTGTGAGGCGCCAGAAGTGGGGTCAAAGTATAACCATTCTGAAGACCGTTGAGTGAGGGCAGTAATTTACACTAGAACTATTGATGGTCGTGTTGAGGTGATGACCAGCTGGCGTGATGCATCCCAGTTATCCCCATAGGCTTACCATCTGGAAGTTACAGGTTCTTTATTCCAGCATTGTTGTAGATACAGTGCTAGGCTCCCTCGCTTAAACCCGCAGTCTGACTGTCACCTGGATCGTCACTAACAGCAGTATGAATGTAAGTACTCATATCCGGGCTTGGATTGTGTTAAGTGCACATGTTAATTTTGGTAATCTGTGATCACCCAATCTTGGACTCGGTCAGAGTATCTCTCAGAGCGAGCTTACTCTGTGTGGGAGTCCAGTGAGAGTGGAAGTGTTAAGCTGACAGACTCACTGAGGAGTGACAAGTCTCTAACCTTCGGAGTGTCGTGTCACTGGTGAGTGACTGACGACCTTTGTGTGTGTGAACAATATTATTAAACACATTTAAGATTAAGATCTGTTACAGGAAGTGTTGGGAGTGATTAATTACTACGATCATCTTGATGACTCTTAAGTAACTGGTGTAATTATCGTATATTATATTATTATTGTGTGATTATCTCTGTTGTGGCGTCGAGTGACACCTTGTTATTGCTTCCTCTGTGTCATGAGCAATAATTAGTGTTGTTAATTATTATAATTATTGAAGTGTTAATTATCATTGATTGTTGACTTAGTGACAACGTGGTTAACGTAACTAATTGATTGTTCACTGTCAGAGTGACTCTGGTAATGTAAGGTTGTTAATTAATTGTCTTTGATTGTTCACTGTCGGGGTGACAGTGATTATCGTAGATTAATTGTGTGTTAATTACTTTGTTGTGATTTAATGTCTTGGTGACATTGTTAAAGTAAAGTAGTTACTTGTTGATGTGGTGACTGTCTTGGTGACAGTGTTCTTTTGTATTTATTTACGTGCGTGTGTAAATGTGTTGTGATGGTAAAGGGTTTTGATACTGCCAGCGGCGAGTGAAGTAATTGTCAACAGTGTTCAGAAAGTGTTCAGTTAGTTCACTTTTGTTCATGACCTGTCCAGTGGGTCGAGATTGTTGTTATTCATCATTCTGCAGTACTCCCCCCCAATATTTCATCAATTGCTACTTAACATTGCTATTAATTTGAGTTGGTTCAGGATCCAGCCCAGAGCCTCAAACACTAAACATAAAATTCGGTGTTAGAACCCATCTGCTACCAGCTAGATTTGCTTGCAAGCAAGACGCATTGTGAAGGACCAAAGCGTGGAAGATCTGGTATTGCTTGTGTAATAGAAGACCGCCCTGGCCTTCATCTCCACCTGAAATACTTGGATCTTTGGCGTCTTGATCACGCCTCTGGAGTGTATTCATTTGTTTGTCAAAGGCAAACATTCGAATCCACATCCCAATAACTAGAAATCTCACATCTGGCGCCCAGCGTGGGGCTAGAGAGTCTGTGAGGGAGGGGGGGGGGGGTAACAAGTCTCACTTGTTGCCCAGTTCAGTGCTAGACTTGAGTTAGAAACTCAGTCAACTCACAAGAGACTGAATAACTTTAGTTCTATTAGGAAGTTTTATTATGATTTATTTACTAAACAACAATAAATTTGTTCCTAATTGTCAATATATTTTCTCAAATGCAGAGGTCAAAACTATATGGAATACTCAAGATTAAATCGCACATGTATATTGTACAGAGTCCTACCCTCTCCAGCCATCTTCTCGTTTTCTTTTATTAGTATTTTAGTGCTCAACTAATAGCATAATTTTTTTATTAATATTTCCAGTCTGTAGCACTTCATATTTTTTCAGCATTAATTAAATATCTAAAATATGTCAGACCAATTTAAAAGGTCGTTTGGTTTAGCAAGCTGTCATTATGAGAGTTGTAACTCGGCTGCTTTGTGTGGAGTCATTGACAGATCTATGTTGTGGTGCTGTCAATAAAAGTCAGTGTTTAGGACTCCGGCGTCGGTCACCTAATCTGTGTTCAAGTGACAGGCGGGGGAAGGCGTAGAGTGCCTCTGGAATCCTTCTCTATTGAGGCTAACTCATAGTTTAGTTACGAGAGCGTTCGTCTCCCAAGCTGGAGGTCGGGTGTTCAATGCTCCTAGTGTCCAGGTGAATGAAATGTTCACACACACACATATATATATATATATATATATATATATATATATATATATATATATATATATATATATATATATATATATAATTATACCAAGAAATCAATAATTATTGATATATTAGTTACAAGTCTACCACATTTGAAAGGCAAAATATAATATTTTAGTGCTTCCAACCCTCTCCGAGACATCGCCAGCACATCGACATAGGCCACGATCTTTCTTGTGTTTCTCAAAATTCTTTTTCTTAAATATTCAGTAGATAAAGAACCCATTCTTAAGCAAGGTAATTCATCGTAAAAAGAACTTGAATAGGTTGCATAAGTAAATAAATGTCACAGCCATACCTACCGGCCATAAAACAAGGAATTCCGTCCCTGCTAGTCACGCACTCCATGGCCTCAGGGTCAGCTGGGAGGAGGTCTGTCTCCTGCACCCTCAGGAGGCCGCCCCGGAACAGTCTCAACTGCTGCTCCTCCTGGCGGCTCGACCCGTAGATGTTGGACCCGTCCAGGTAGTGAGTGATCTGGTTCATCTGGCGAGGAGAGGTGCGGGTTGAGTGTGAGGAAGCTGTGGGGATGGTGGTGAGGCTTCCAGAAAGGTGAAGCTGTTTATGAGACAGAAGGTAAGTGACAGCAGACTCCACATGGCTCACCTGTTCAGCGTATCCTAAACTGCAGGGGTTGGTGCGGGGTGCGAACATGGACCTGACGAAGTTCATACAGATGTCGCCCGTCCCGCCGAAGAAAGGGTCGTTCTCGGGGATGTCGATGGGGAAGCAAGCGGGATGAAGGAAGGCTGCTTCAGCCACAGTCGTTCCGTTGTTACCACAACACTGAATACCACTCGTGTTACCTGGTAAATGAAATGTGGCCATGTTACCCTTGTAAAGTGTACATTGCTTCACATCCCACAGCGACAACAATAAGTATTACATCACTTAAAGTTGTACAGAAGCAATGGAAAGGTTAAACCGGTATGAAAAGGAGGAAGATTAATCACATAAACAGCATGTCAACAACAAGGGACCAACAATTAGCAGGCAAAAATAATATTTCAAGATCTAAACAAAGAACGCTTACAGAGCACTTTAGAGAGCCTCACTTAGATCATGCCCCGAGTATGCGACACTCGCGTCTAACCAGCACTTCGCGAAACAAAAGTAAAATTTAGAATTTAGAAGATTCAAACAAACATTTATCAATTGACAGACATTGGAACATGAGACCTGAGCAACATGGTCGGGCTAAACATATGGAACTGCACACACTTGAGGGATCACGTACCAAACATGATATGTACTTTAGTACAACACACTCAGATATAATGTGAAAAAACTCTGAGAAATAGAAGAAGGCGAATTTAAAAAGAGTTCTCCATGAGATCTCGTGTAAGGAGTGTCGGTATGAAATAAACCAAAGGAACAAGTGTTTAGGGACAATTGAAACCACGACTTTGACTATACGGTAGTCAAAGGAAACTGTAAAACTGCTATACCAGGCGCCCGAAAGTGAAGAAGTTAACCCAAGAGCTCATCTTCTCTTCATGAAAACGCTGAAAGGTAAATATCCATTACCAAAGATGTTCTAGATGCTAGTATAATAATATACACTACGGACTGTTCAATACTCACTTAGCCTGTTGATGGGGGTGTGAGCGAGGTCGTGGTCGATGAACTGACCCCACTGCATGAGGGAGAGGGTGTAGTCTGGGCTGGGATTGTCCACGTCTCCTGATATGCTGGTGGACACCAGCCTGGCGGAGGGCAGCGGGCCGCCCAGCACACTCCGACGAGGCCGGAACAAACCTATAATGATAAGAATATTCTTTGTTTATAGATAAGTTGACCCAAGCTGTATTTATAAATGTGACGTTATTGTTAAAGATTAATTACAGAAAACACAGGCCTCAAACGTAGGCCTTTGTTTCTGTGACCTTCAACTCCATGTAATAGTAGTATGGTGCACCGTTGCTACCATTGTAACTTACCAATGGAACACCACTAATACCATTGAAGCCTTAACCCGGCACGCATGTACTCCTTGGTGTTCGACCACCAAGTGCCACGTGTACAATGTTATCACTATCACTCACAATACTTACAACAAAGTATCGTAACCAAAGAGTGCTCAAGTTAATAATAACACTGCCACCACTTCTAATTCGGGGCAATTAAGCTAATTGACTCAGGAGAAGATCAGTCAATTAGTATGGATTTAGCAGGAATTTTGATCTTTAATTACTTGAAATGATGGATGTAATTCCTTTAAAACTGCTTACTCAAGACAAGGGGAAGTATTTAATTCATAAAGACAAAACGTGGATCACAGGAGTTCCCAAAACGCTTCAAAACAAGGACTCAGAAATATATTGAGGGAAATTGTCTAAACACAAGGAACACTAGATCACTTTTATTTAACAACATGCACGTAAATTCATTTCTTAACTAGATGGAACTAAGTACTAAGTTCGTGGTACTAAGTACTAAATAACGTGGCTAAGTACTTTAGACACGTTATTGTGACTCATCGCCTGCATTCATGTCGTAACTCCTGAACCTCCTGTACTTGAGGCAATGATAATGGAAAGCTTTATTTTAATTAGATCTCAAAAGACAGTATTTTACCGTTCATACGTGACTAGCCTGTGTCCTCCCCTGGTGTTCTGTCTGTCCTCCCCTGGTGTTCTGTCTGTCCTTCCCTGGTGTTCTGTCTGTCCTCCCCTGGTGTTCTGTCCTCCCCTGGTGTTCTGTCCTCCCCTGGTGTTCTGTCTGTCCTCCCCTGGTGTTCTGTCCTCCCCTGGTGTTCTGTCTGTCCTTCCCTGGTGTTCTGTCTGTCCTCCCCTGGTGTTCTGTCCTCCCCTGGTGTTCTGTCTGTCCTCCCCTGGTGTTCTGTCTGTCCTCCCCTGGTGTTCTGTCCTCCCCTGGTGTTCTGTCTGTCCTCCCCTGGTGTTCTGTCTGTCTTCCCCTGGTGTTCTGTCTGTCCTTCCCTGGTGTTCTGTCTGTCCTTCCCTGGTGTTCTGTCCTCCCCTGGTGTTCTGTCTGTCCTTCCCTGGTGTTCTGTCCTCCCCTGGTGTTCTGTCCTTCCCTGGTGTTTTGTCCTTCCTCCCCTAGTGTTCTGTATGTCCTCCCCTGGTGTTCTGTCCTTCCCTGGTGTTCTGTCCTTCCTCCCCTGGTGTTCTGTCTGTCCTCCCCTGGTGTTCTGTCTGTCCTCCCCTGGTGTTCTGTCCTTCCTCCCCTGGTGTTCTGTCCTTCCTCCCCTGGTGTTCTGTCCTTCCTCCCCTGGTGTTCTGTCCTTCCTCCCCTGGTGTTCTGTCCTCCCCCTGGTGTTCTGTCCTTCCTCCCCTGGTGTTCTGTCCTCCCCTGGTGTTCTGTCCTTCCTCTCCTGGTGTTCTGTCCTTCCTCCCCTGGTGTCTTGTCCTCCCTTAGTGTTCTGTCCTTCATCCCCTGGTGTTCTGTCCTTCTTCCCCTGGTGTTCTGTCCTCCCCTGGTGTTCTGTCTGTCCTCCCCTGGTGTTCTGTCCTCCCCTGGTGTTCTGTCCTTCCTCCCCTGGTGTTCTGTCCTTCCTCCCTTGGTGTCTTGTCCTCCCTTGGTGTTCTGTCCTTCATCCCCTGGTGTTCTGTCCTTCTTCCCCTGGTGTTCTGTCCTCCCCTGGTGTTCTGTCTGTCCTCCCCTGGTGTTCTGTCCTCCCCTGGTGTTCTGTCCTTCCTCCCCTGGTGTTCTGTCCTTCCTCCCCTGGTGTCTTGTCCTCCCTTGGTGTTCTGTCCTTCATCCCCTGGTGTTCTGTCCTTCTTCCCCTGGTGTTCTGTCCTCCCCTGGTGTTCTGTCTGTCCTCCCCTGGTGTTTTGTCCTCCCCTGGTGTTCTGTCCTTCCTCCCCTGGTGTTCTGTCCTTCATCCCCTGGTGTTCTGTCCTTCATCCCCTGGTGTTCTGTCCTCCCCTGGTGTTCTGTCCTCCCCCTGATGTTCTGTTCTGTCCTCCCCCTGGTGTTCTGTCCTCCCCCTGGTGTTCTGTCCTTCCTTCCCTGGTGTTCTGTCCTCCCCTGGTGTTCTGTCCTTCCTTCCCTGGTGTTCTGTCCCTCCTCCCCTGGTGTTCTGTCCTTCCTCCCCTGGTGTTCTGTCCTCCCCTGGTGTTCTGTCCTTCCTCCCCTGGTGTTCTGTCCTTCCTCCCCTGGTGTTCTGTCCTCCCCTGGTGTTCTGTCCTTCCTTCCCTGGTGTTCTATCCTTCCTCCCTTGGTGTTCTGTCCTCCCCTGGTGTTCTGTCCTTCCTTCCCTGGTGTTCTGTCTTTCCTTCCCTGGTGTTCTGTCCTTCCCTGGTGTTCTGTCCTTCCTCTCCTGGTGTTCTGTCCTCCCCTGGTGTTCTGTCCTCCCCTGGTGTTCTGTCCTTCCCTGGTGTTCTGTCCTTCCTCCCCTGGTGTTCTGTCCTCCCCTGGTGTTCTGTCCCTCCTCCCCTGGTGTTCTGTCCTCCCCTGGTGTTCTATCCTTCCTCCCCTGGTGTTCTGTCCTTCCTCCCCTGGTGTTCTGTCCTTCCCTGGTGTTCTGTCCTTCCTCCCCTGGTGTTCTGTCCTTCCTCCCCTGGTGTTCTGTCCTTCCCTGGTGTTCTGTCCTTCCTCCCCTGGTGTTCTGTCCTCCCCTGGTGTTCTGTCCTTCCCTGGTGTTCTGTCCTTCCTCCCCTGGTGTTCTGTCCTCCCCTGGTGTTCTGTCCCTCCTCCCCTGGTGTTCTGTCCTCCCCTGGTGTTCTATCCTTCCTCCCCTGGTGTTCTGTCCTTCCTCCCCTGGTGTTCTGTCCTTCCCTGGTGTTCTCTCCTTCCTCCCCTGGTGTTCTGTCCTTCCTCCCCTGGTGTTCTGTCCTTCCCTGGTGTTCTGTCCTCCCCTGGTGTTCTGTCCTTCCTCCCCTGGTGTTCTGCCCTCCCCTGGTGTTCTGTCCTTCCTCCCCTGGTGTTCTGTCCTCCCCTGGTGTTCTGTCCTTCCTCCCCTGGTGTTCTGTCCTTCCTTCCCTGGTGTTCTATCCTTCCTCCCCTGGTGTTCTGTCCTCCCTTGGTGTTCTGTCCTTTCTCCCCTGGTGTTATCTCCTTCCTCCCCTGGTGTTCTGTCCTTCCTCCCCTGGTGTTCTGTCCTCCCTTGGTGTTCTGTCCTTCCTTCCCTGGTGTTATCTCCTTCCTCCCCTGGTGTTCTGTCCTTCCTCCCCTGGTGTTCTGTCCTTCCCTGGTGTTCTGTCCTCCCCTGGTGTTCTGTCCTTCCTCCCCTGGTGTTCTGTCCTTCCCTGGTGTTCTGTCCTCCCCTGGTGTTCTGTGCTCCCCTGGTGTTCTGTCCTTCCTCCCCTGGTGTTCTGTCTTCCCCTGGTGTTCTGTCTTCCCCTGGTGTTCTGTCCTTCCTCCCCTGGCGTTCTGTCCTTCCTTCCCTGGTGTTCTGTCCTCCCCTGGTGTTCTGTCCTTCCTCCCCTGGTGTTCTGTCCTTCCTTCCCTGGTGTTCTGTCCTTCCTTCCCTGGTGTTCTGTCCTTCCTTCCCTGGTGTTCTGTCCTTCCTTCCCTGGTGTTCTGTCCTTCCTTTCCTGGTGTTCTGTCCTTCCTCCCCTGGTGTTCTGTCCTCCCCTGGTGTTCTGTCCCTCCTTCCCTGCTGTTCTGTCGTCCCCTGGTGTTCTGTCCTTCCCAGAGAGACACTCAGCACCATGTCTAATAGTGCTTGTCCGGAGTTGACATTAAATTTCAGATCCAAAATTTGAAATTTGCTTTAAATTGCCCCCTTGAGCTTCAATATTGTGATTATTCTTGGCCTAGATTACGTAGGGCACCAACTTCCAGACTCTGGCCTCCATATTCCCTTGGAGATTTCACAATTCACAACCTCGTGGAGCGACATGTATACGCAGGTGGACGGAGCAGCCATGGGGGTTCCCGACTAGAAGTCCTCTCTGCTTTCTTCTCTATGGGAAACACTAGAAGACACCTTCTTGAAACTCACAAGGAAACCTAGCATCTATTCCAGATACATCGATGATATATTCGTGTGTGTGAGAGACCTTCAGGAACTGGTACTATTAAAGGATCAACTTACCTGTAACTCAGTGCTTAACTTTACCCAATAACTCGGCGTCGATGGTACACTCCCCTTCCTCGATGTCTACGTCATTACCAAAGACAACACTTTTACTACAGAAGTTTATACTAAACTCACCAACATTGGAATGTGTTTGAATGGTCACTCAGAATGCCCAGACATACATAAACTTTGTGTAATAAACTCATTTCTACGCAGAGCCCTTAAACTCATTGTTGTGACTGGCATAACATCGACAAGGAACGAGAGAAGCCTTCAAGTCTTAATAAACAACGGGTACACGAACAGTGAACTCAACACCCATATCAGAGATATTTAGGAAAATGGTATAACAGAATAACCGCAACAACTAACAACCCCTTCCAGAAAACTATTGCAAATCCACTATGCGCTCACAATACAAAACTGAAGAAAGAATATTAAAAAACTATTTCAAATGGAGTAAAAGCGATAGCCCCAAACTGAATATTAGAATTCATTATTTACTACAAAAAAGGACTGCCGATATAATAGTTCAGAACAGCCCCAATAAACAATACAACCCTCTCCAACAATCAAACGTGGAATATCATTCTGCATGCCCCAATAAAAAACGTCACCTTCGATCCACTTATATTGGAATGACTACCACAAGGCTTTGGAGAAGACTGGCAGCACTCACCATCGCTGTAGTATAAGTAGGACTCTGGCAGCATTCGCCATCACTGTAGTATAAGTAGGACTCTGGCAGCACTCACCATCACTGTAGTATAAGTAGGACTGGGACAACACTCACCGTCACTGTAGGATGGGGGACATAGTCTCTGGAAGGTGGTCCTAGCCTGGCCCCACATGGGGTTGTCCAGGTTGTTGCAGGAGCCGTCGATGGTGCGGTAGAGTACGTCTCTCTCCCTGCACGCAGGATTCCTCGGGCAGGATTCGGCGATGATGGTGTTGGACAGATCAAACTGCTGCAGACCAAAGCCAGCCTGCAAGGGACTCAGGCGAAACCTGTTCACAAGGAAAAAAAAGCTAAATAACACTTCAGATTTCAAAATGTCTGGTTGTGTTAGACAAATAAGTGGTCTCTTCCGTCGAATAGTGTTACATAAATAAAGTTGTGTGTTTACGTATGTCTGTTATGTTACGTGTGTTTACGTATAAAAATCCCCATATAAGTCTCAATATAGCACGTCAATATAATTATATTTTTTTTGTGCATATGGGACTCATAAGCCTGGGAAGGCAGCTCATCTAGGGAAAGGAAAATCCCGAATTTGGATTTCTGCTGTCGTCATGATCTCTGAGTCACCAATTTCTTCTTCGACATCAAGCAGGAGCACAAGGTTTCCTGGAGACATCCAAGGTCTAAGCATTGGCACCAACTCGACCTGGTGCTTACGGGGCGTAGCAATCTAAGAAACGTCAAACTGACCCGCAGTTTCCAGAGAGCAGATTGTGACACCGACTACTCTCTCGTCGTTTGCAGAGTAAAGTTTCAACCCCGGAAAATGAACAGAGCAAAAGAGGGAAGACCATGCATTAATGTAAACAAGACCCGTGATCCTCACAAGGTGGAAGAGTTCAATGCTGCGCTGGAAAACGCCCTTCCTGGACAACCCTGCAATAGCGCGAGTGAGAGGTGGTCACACCTCAGGGCTACCGTTTTCATCACTGCCATATCCAATTTTGGTATGAGGCAGAACAAGTCAGCAGACTGGTGCGAGGCCAGTGCAGTGGAACTGTTGCCCTTCGTAAAGGAAAGAGACGAGCTCTCTCAATCTATAAGAACCTGCCCTCAGAAAAGAACCTACAGGCCCTCCGTACTGCCTGCAGTAGAGTTCAACAAACTGCGAGGCGCTGTGCTAACGATTACTGGCTTCGACTCTGTTTCACAATCCAGACTGCGGCCACTGTCGGCAACATAAGAGGCATGTACGAAGGGATCAAACAGGCAACAGGCCCTACACAAAACAGGACAGCTCCTCTGAAGTCAGCCATTGGAGAGATCATTAAAGATTGTGATCAGTCGTTGAATCGCTGGGTGGAACATTACTCTAAACTATACTCCAGAGAGAACTTGGTCAGTGTAGAGGCTTTGGATACAATCGAGTGCCTGCCCATCATGGAAGAACTTTACCTTGAACCGACTGTAGAAGAAGTTGAGAAAGCTGTGGATTCACTTTTTTCAGGGAAGGCCCCAGGAGACGACGGATTCCGCCTGAAGTTCTCAAGTTCGCTCGAGGAACACTTAAAACTGAGCTTCATGAACTTCTGTGCCAGTGCTGGAGGGAGGGCTCGGTGCCACAAGGCAGGAGAGATGCAAACATCATCACTCTCTACACAAATAAAGGTGACAGAAGCGATTGCAACAACTATCGCGGCATATCCCTCCTCAGCGTCGTTGGCAAACTCTTCGCCAGGGTCATCTTGGTAAGGCTAAAGATTCTTGCTGAAAGAGTGTACCCCGAGTCACAGTGTGGTTTCCGAGCTGAGAGGCCGACCACTGACATGGTGTTCTCCCTGAGACAGCTTCAAGAAAGTGCAGGGAGCAGAGAAAAGCCTTGAACATCGCCTTCATTGACCTTACAAAGGCCTTCGACCTCGGGAGTAGGGACGGACTCTTCAAGATCTTGGCCAAAATTGGCTGCCCACCCACCCTACTCAGCATGATACAATCGGTCAACGAGGACATGAAGGGAACAGTCGTGTACGACAGCTCAACTTCTGAACCATTCAACATCAACTGTAGTGTTAAACAGGGGTGTGTTCTTGCTCCAACCCTGTTCGGCATCTTCTTCGCGATCCTCGTCAAGCATGCCTTTGGAACAACCACAGAGGGCATCTATCTCCGTACAAGATCTGAAAGAAAACTCCTAAAGCTATCCAGACTCCGGGAAGAGACGAAAGTACAGATGCAACTCCTCAAGAACTTCGTCTTCGCCGACAATACAGCGATCACCACACACACAGCAGAAGTCCTGTAGCAGCTACTTAAGTGCTTTGCCACAGCCTGCTCTGTATTCGGGCTGAAAATCAGCCTGAAGATGACACAGGTGATGGGACAAGATGTGAATGAGCTACCCTGTATAAACATCACGGACTGCGAGCTGGAGGCAGTTCATGAGTTTGTGTACCTGGGCTCCACAATTTCAGACACCCTTTTCCTGGACACTGAGTTCAACAGGAGTATCGGGAAGGCCGCAACAACACTGACCAGACTCACAAAGTGCGTTTGAGCAAATATTCAAACTGACAGTACGCACCAAGGTGCAGGTCTACATGGCATGTGCGCTCTCGCCAGGAGAGACGGCTCAATACCTTTCATATGCTGAACCTGTGATGCATCCTTGACATTACGTGGAGAGACCACGTCCCCAACAACACAGTGCTTGAGAGAACAGGAACCCTTCAACGTTCACTCTCCTGAAGCAGAGACAGATGCGGTGGCTAGGACATGTCACACGCATGGAAGAAGGCCGCATACCGAAGGACCTCTTATATGGAGAACTTGCATCAGGAAAGAGGCCCACCAGAAGACCCCAGCTGCATTTTAAAGACGCCTGCAAACGCGACCTCAAGTAGCTGAACATCGACATCAACACTTGGAAGGCATCAGCTGCGGACAGATCTGTCTGAAGATGCAAAGTGAGGAATGGACTCCAGCAATTCGAAGGCAAACTGAAGAGGCGGGCGGAGGAAAAGAGGCTTCAGAGGAAATTTTGACCACTGACAAACAAAACCGCTTCGGCGTTTATCTGCGTTTACTGCAGTCGGCCGAGCAGACAGCACGCTGGACTTGTGATCCTGTGGTCCTGGGTTCGATCCCAGGCGCCAGCGAGAAACAATGGGCAGAGTTTCTTTCACCCTATGCCCCTGTTACCTAGCAGTAAAATAGGTACCTGGGTGTTAGTCAGCTGTCACGGGCTGCTTCCTGGGGGTGGAGGCCTGGTTGAAGACCGGGCCGCGGGGACACTGAAAGCCCCGAAATCATCTCAAGATAACCTCAAAATAGTCAGGACTGCCGTTCTCAGGTTGAACTTCACAGCCACAGCAGACTTTGCACCCAACCCAGGGCACAACTCCATAACCCTATGGGATTGAGGGATGCCTACATATATATAACATACATATATGTTTGTCTGTCCAGAGTTGGAGGCTAGACACTAAAGCGACATTAAAGCAGCTTATTTAGCATGGAGAAAAGGAATATAATGAGTTACATGAAAGAATGTAATCTGGGGAGATAGTGAGAGAGATGTTGCAGCATTTAATCGAAAGGTAAAGCCATAGTTTTCCCTAGTAGCCTTACCTTGCATTATGTAGAATTTGATAGGAATTACTTCTTAAATTTGCGTTGGGATAGAGGATAAAATAAATAAATAATGAGTGAGTTAGGTAATGAGGAAAGTGACTCACTGGGTCATGAGTTGGTCACTGGCTAAAGCGCTGACAAAGGCGCCTCTGGAAAGTCGAATGGCGAGGGGTGATGTCTTGAAGAACTGGAGATGACCGAAAGCTGGGTCTCTGAAGTCCGTCACCTCGAAGTCTCTTGCTTGCAGTTCCTGAGGCAGGATAATGACACATCAATGTGGGTAAAATCTGTATTAACTGGAACCTCAGCTATTTTGCCGGAACCTCGGCTAAATCACATAACATGATGTTCAATATCTCATGAAGACAGAACTGGTAACAATGAAGTCAAATTATACCAATTTAGACAACAAACTACTATAGGTAATAAGTAAAAATAATAATCAAAATAATTTATGTAAATAAAGGATGAAAAATATGTACCGCTTCCAAGAGGTCCACCTCCGCCAGCAGCCCGAGGCCGACCCTAACAGCCCCGTTGATCAGATCATTACTGAAGCCCAGTTGAGGAACCACAATCTCCGGCTCTACGAACAGCTGTCGCAGGTTAACTGGAAATAATACGTGTCGGGTATACAGCTACGAGGTGCCAACTACATCACACGAAGTGATTAGGTTTAAAGAGCAATGTAGATAGTATTTAAATGTCTTAGAGAGAACAATTATTAGGTAATTATGGAGTACCTTTAAAAATTTGGAAACAATGAGCCTTTTCAGATGAAATCAAGTATCACTAAAAAATATTGTTCAGAAAACATTTGGTGTAAATTCCATTCCTCTTATATATTCTCAAGAATTAGCGAGAGGAAACGTTGCTGTGACATACGCCAGCAGGTTGTGCCTATGGCCACCAGGAATGTGTACTCTGCAAGTGTTGGTATTCGATATTCAGGAAGTTACAGCACAAAAAAATGATATTGTGGAGTCTTACGTAATTCATTACAGTAATGAGAAAGTATACAAGAGCGAAACATCTAAAATATTTGCAGAAATATATAAGAAAAAAAGGGTAAGAAAAACACGAACTTATGTTGGGTTGTCCGGGGCAGCAGACTCCCGCAGAACACAATACACTGGAAGAAGAAACAGCAGAGAACATGAAGACATAAACACGTACTGTTGTTGGGTTGTCCGGGGCAGCAGACTCCCGCAGAACACAGTACACTGGAAGAAGAAACAGCAGAGAACATGAAGACATAAACACGTACTGTTATTGGGTTGTCCGGGGCAGCAGACGCCAACAGCACCACCGTAGATGGAGCAGGAGAGCTGGGGCTGGTTCTCCACCTGGTGGTAGCAGGGAGCACAGCTCACCAGCGGCACACACTGCAGGCCATTCGGGCAATGTGTTTGCCCAGGGAAGTGACGCGTTACTGTACGAATATAAGATAATACCAGGTCATATTTTCTCTCAACTGTTTCATTCAAGTATCTGTCATATTTTAAAAGAAACTTAAGTTTAAATAATGTGGCTCGACCAGGTAGTTTACTTCACTCCTCTACCACTATTGGCAAACCAATTTTTCTTTATATCCTTCCTAAATCTGAACTTGTATAGCTCATAGTAATTATAACAAGATCTGACCTTGTCTGATAGTTTGAAGACCTGGCTCATGTCTGTCCTACCGCCCCCACTCACTGTACGCCTCTCCGAGGCATCAAGGCTGAGCGACCTTACTCTCTCCTCGAGGCCGAAATACCAGGGATCTGTCTGGCTGTCCTACACTGGAATTTCTCGATGGAATTGGTATCCACTCGACAATATGGTGACCAAAATTTGAGGGCGTTGTCAAAGTAAGAACTTGCCAGGGACAAGCATAGTTGGTGAATTTATGTTACGATGTTATTGAATTTATTGCAGATATTTCTGTTTATAAACCGAAGAGTTCTGTTTGCTTTGTGATGTTTATTTGTAAACTGCTGCCCGGGTCTCGGGTCACTGTCAGTCATCACCCACAAGCCTTTCACAACTAATGTGCACAAATATGGTTTATCATCGAGTAGATGATGTCACTGGAGTCTCCCAAGTTTAGGACTTTGCATTTATCAACTTCAGCTACCACATTTTTGTAAACAATTCTCCAATGTAATGAGAGCTTTCAGGAATCCTGCAGAGTTTTCATTCGAGTTTACTATTCACCTCACTTTCTTCTCATATACAAATATGAGAAGAAGGAAAACTAAGTTATTGACATTATGGACAACTAAGGGCCGTAATAGACATTCCGGATCATACCACAAATGACATTCTCCTCTCGGACTTCACTCCGTTATGCAAACTGCTGATTCCTGTCTTTCAAACAAGCTCTGACCTGTCTTGTGAGACGCTTCATCGTCTGATGTATCCAAGCTGTGATCTCTTACTGGGGCATAGCTAGGGAACTGGGTTAGATGTCTTACCAGAGAAAAGATAAAGAACTGGTTGGATGTCTTGACTGAGGAGCAAACAAATACGTCTCTTCATCACATTTTTATATTTTGTTTTATTTATATATACAGGAGTTCTTACATTCTTGTAAGTTGTCTTTTAATACAGAAAATGTCTCGGAGGTCTTCACAGTAGGTATCGAAGGTCCTTTCCTAAAGCCTTTATTCTTCGTGAAAATCTTATTACACGACTGTTTATGGATACCATCCACTTTAACATTATAATGTTGTGACAATTCCTTAACTTCTTCGCCTCACTCCGCGACTCGTCTGACTGTCCTCAAGTCACCAACTCTTGCAGGAGACTCTCCTCAGTCCTCAAGACACGAAGGACACTAACTGGTAGCGTCTTAACATGTGTCACCCATTTAATATTTTTTTATAGCGTCTGGCTAGGCGGATATATTACGGATTTGTATGAAATTTGGAAAAGCAAATTAAGATTTATTTTTTAACACGAAACATGCAGCTTACCTCCGTATGTGTTTATGGAAGGTTGGAGAGGTCGGAGGTGGTGAGGGACGGGGGTGACCCGAGGACCCAGGCCGGAGGCGGGGCCCAGGAAGGGCTGGGTGACCGCCGGGGTGCGGCTGGGGGTGTAGACGCCCTGGTTTAACAGGGGACCTCCCGCCAGTTGATTAAATGATGCCTGGTTGATCTGAGGAGGAGGATTTTTGTTATAGTTACTTATTATGAATTATGAAGTGTGGTGGAGCTGAGGAGAAGTGTGGTGGTGCTGAGAAGTGTGGTGAAGATGATGTTAACTATGTCAACTCAGCTGGTAAATAACAAAGTTTTTTGTTAAACTTTTACCATTTATAATTGTGCTTTCATTAGTTGACACTAATTTGACTTTCATTAGTCAGTATGTGTCCTGGAGGTTATATGTGTATCACACACGCAGAGACTCGAGCTACTCGAGGCTGAGGACACAAAGGTTCCACTCCAAGGGTCAAGTGAGAGACCGCTCACCTGAGATGGGTTGAGAGGGACTCAAAATAACTGCCAGAACTTCATAAGTGTTGGAAGATTTGTTGTCTGGTTATGGAAGATGCTTTAAAACATAAGATTAAAGGACATATTTGATAGGATCAGAGAGCATATGGGATCGCAGAATTTTGGAATATGTGCAGATTATACAAAGGTGTGATGCGAGGAAATTAAAGAGAGAAGGTCTTCGCATAATTTGTGCTTTGGAGATAACATTGGTCATGAAGTCATTATATGACAGGAAGGTGATTGTGAAGCCAAAGGTTGCCCGAGTGTCCGGTGTAGTTATGCACAACTGACTGGTCACAACTAAGCATCTTGTGACTAGTAAGCAATATACATTTTTAGGGCCGAGGGAGAGGAAAAACGGGTTTAGGGCCGAAAATTTCCTGGCAGACAAGAGAGGTTGTGGTGTCGAGAACGAGGAGTGGAGGCGCGGTGCTCCGCTCTGTGTCTGGCTTACGGACAACACGTTCAGTGTCGCTCAGGATCCTTACCGTCAGCTTGTTCTCCCTGATGAATGGGGTGATGACGGGTGTGGAGACAGGCCTGTCTAGGACCCCGCCCAGGTTGAGGGAGTTGGACACTTGGGAGCTGACCAAGGTGGGGTGGGAGGCGAAGATGGAGTAGGGCGTGAGGAACGCTGCTGGCGTGTGGGGTGGCAGGACACCGTAGGGTCTGTTAGGGAGGACAGGCAGTGTTATCATCCGTCTCTTATACAACTTGATGACTGTGTGCACCATCGCTAACTCGTCTGTAATAGGGCTCCCTGACACCACCTTTATCTATTCTGCTACAGAGTTTGGTAGATCTCTGCCCCTCTTATGTTAGAGTCAACCCCGGCTGACCAAGTGTGTCCCGACTGACGGTCCAAGCCACTCACCTCAAAGACTGCGTCAGCGGCAATGAGTGGCGTCTCTCCCTCTCTGTGTCGTCTGCTTCTGCAGAGTTGGCGCCACCTTCACTGGTCACGTCGGCAGCACCGAGGCCAGCCAGGAGCACCACCACTGTGGCCGCTGCACACCTGAAACACCACACAAACTGTGAAACTTAACCATGATCATTTTCTTCAAGACAAAATGTTTTGGAATGTATCTTTGGGGTGGACCGCAGCTTGGGAGAGCAGGGGCAAGGATGGGTTGCAATTGTAATAAGTTTGATGTCATTTATTTTATTCTACAACATTCTATTTTACTTCACTGCGCTAGTTTTTCTGTCTGCCATCTCCGCTTTTCACATTTTCCGCATCTCTTTGACATTTGTACTACTTTTAACATGAACGTGTTCCCTGTGATAGTGCCTTAAAGTGATACTATTTTCTTGGTTGCTTCTGTGACCTCCCTCTATTACCATTGGAGCATTCTCGGCACATTATATAGACGACCTCACTCTCTGCTGTCACCACGGTGACTTCTCCTTCATCCACCGCGACGCCAACTTGCAATCGCCACCGTGTCGTCCTGGCTACAGTCACGGCTTCTAGTACTCATCGACTAAGACTTGTTCTATTATTTTTACTCGCAAGCGTGTCACCCCTCCACCCACCGCTCTATGGAAGTTCCCTTCTGTATAATGATACTGATAATGACCAAACCACTGATAATGACCAAACCACAACTCAGAAGATGGAGAACTTTTCGGTCCATCCTGGACCATTATCAAGTCGTGTGAGAGAAGAGAGGAAGGTACAAGCAATTATATAAGGTAAGAGTAAGATGAGAAGTGAGGAGCAGGTAAGAGAAGAGTACTGATAAGTTCTGGTGAAGGATGTCATCTTTACTTCATACTATCTTCATCATTAACCGTCACTACAGACAACCTTCTAAACTATTTATACTACACTCGACTATCCTCATCACTGTAATCATCTTGACAACTATTTTCCTTAAAGCAGGGCAATAAAATCTATCCCGACTGGCCTATGTTTCTCCCATACCCAACATGTGTCATGTGTGAAGGTTGAGTGAGGCTCGCGCACAGCGTCTGGCATCCAACTTTGAACAGACAGACATTCTCTTCTATAGATATAAATAAGGATGAACCATTGATATGATTCTCTGACCAACATCTTTATGGCAGAACTTTATTTAGTTTTGTGTCCTCTTCATTGCTACTTTTTATGTGTCAACGTTCGTTTGCCTTTCTGGTTGACTCTCGCAGTGCTCTCGTGGTTCTGGAGTCTTGAAGCCCTCTGCATCCTGTGCTGGTTGAAATCAAATACTTGCTTTTTTCATCATTAGTGTTACGGCTTCACTAAGCCTGTCACCAGATTCTTTTCATTTCAAACTTTATATGGGGCCTCGGTGCCTCTTCTTACCAGATCCAACCCCGAGTCACAGGTAAGTTATTAAGAGCTAGCAGTAATAGTCAATTAAACGGGAATAGGGATAAACAACACTAAGCGAACCCATCGCCATATGTACTTAACTATATTCACTTTTTACATATGTACATAACACCTCAGGTGTCACTTTCTCACAGAACACTTCAAAAGACACTACTTCTTGTGATGGTGTCCCACCCGTATGTCTTTACTCTCCCGGCATCAAGAGTCATATCTGCAACCTGAACGTTCTCTGATGTTCAGGGAACATTTTGACATATATGAGAGTATGGAACGTTATCGTGTTGGCAGCGAATTTACCGTTTTAGTTTGGTTATACAAGTGGCTTACGCCCTTTTGAGTTACAAGATGGCGCCGAGGCGCTCAGTTTCCCGCCAGAGGAGCGTGACGCCTGCAGGCTGTTGATTGGCCAGGTAGGGTCACGTGACATCATAGACCAATGGGGAGGAGCCCTCAGGCGGTGTGACGTCATGTGGCAGAGGGCTCCGGGCGGCGGGTGCCCCGGCGGGCTCAGTACGTCACGGCTCGTCATAGAGGGTGGCCACGCTCAAGTGAGCTCCCGATCTAGAGGCTAGGAAGCCCCAACCAGTGGACCCAAGCAGCCGCATTGATATCGCATACGTCGTGGGACAGACATCACCCGACTCCCGTAGAGTACACGGAAACCGGGCGTGGCTGGTGTTAGAGCGCTACGAGCTCCATTACTGATAGTCTGCGGCAGAGAGGAACGTTCGGCTGGCACGTCTGGGACGCCCAGCGGGCCACGTTCAAACGCGTCAGGCGAGCTGCTGCGGCTGCGGCCAAGTCCACTGGCAGACCGAGAAGGGACACTGGACCAGACTGCAAGTTGTCTACAGTGTCAGTGTGGGAGGAAGTAGGCGACGTGCTCAGGGACCTGTCTCTAGTACCTCGAGAGGAAGAGGAGGAGGACCTGCCGGCAGAGTGAGAACGGCGAAGACGCGCATCTACCAGTCGACTGAGGACCTTGTGTGTGAGACCTGATCAGCGAAGGACCAAACGCCAGGATCGGGGACCTCAGCAACCCTCGCCAGAGGATCGGTCGGCTGCGTAGCAGAAAGAATTAAGGAAGATAAATTTCGAACCTCATTACCCCTTGATCTAGGATAGCTAGGTGATCTTTCATATCGTGAACATTGTCTTTATTATTACTACCAGTGTGCTAGAGAATTAGGCTAGGAGCCAGGTTACTCATGTAGGCGTGAGTTGATGTATAAATATATATGTGGGTGCGGTGACTTATGGGCAGCTGGAGGAAGTGGTTGGGTTCAAGAGGCCAGGAGCGAGCTTGTGGGTCGCCCAGCTGACTGTGTTCCAGACGCGGGTGAGTAGTGCCGCTGTCTGACAGCTCCACACACATATATCATTTCAACATGCACATCCAATGTAGTTTTCTTCAGTAAACGTATTGATTTGAACACTGTTGAAGTGAGCCTCCATTCTCTAGGGCTATTTGAGTAGACCATAAATATATATTATATTTCAAGGTGAAGAAAAGAAGTGAATTAGTAATTCACTGGAGACCTCTGTATATATGTAAAATATATATATATATATATATATATATATATATATATATATATATATATATATATATATATATATATATATATATATATATATATATATATATATATATAACTGAAAACTCACACCCCAGAAGTGACTCGAACCCATACTGCCAGGAGCAACGCAACTGGTATGTACAGGGACGCCTTAATCCGCTTGACCATCACGACCGGACATAAGGAAGTGATAGCCGAAGCTATTTGAACCACTTCCCCGCCGGCACTCGGATGGTAATCTTGGGCATAGCATTTTATCAAATCACCTCATTCTTTGGGGCACACGTGAGGAACACAAATGCAAACAAGCCTGAATGGTCCCCAGGACTATATACAACTGAAAACTCACACCCCAGAAGTGACTCGAACCCATACTGCCAGGAGCAACGCAACTGGTATGTACAGGGACGCCTTAATCCGCTTGACCATCACGACCGGACATAAGGAAGTGATAGCCGAAGCTATTTGAACCACTTCCCCGCCGGCACTCGGATGGTAATCTTGGGCATAGCATTTTATCAAATCACCTCATTCTTTGGGGCACACGTGAGGAACACAAATGCAAACAAGCCTGAATGGTCCCCAGGACTATATACAACTGAAAACTCACACACCAGAAGTGACTCGAACCCATACTGCCAGGAGCAACGCAACTGGTATGTACAGGGACGCCTTAATCCGCTTGACCATCACGACCGGACATAAGGAAGTAATAGCCGAAGCTATTTGAACCACTTCCCCGCCGGCACTCGGATGGTAATCTTGGGCATAGCATTTTATCAAATCACCTCATTCTTTGGGGCACACGTGAGGCACACAAATGCGAACAAGCCTGAATGGTCCCCAGGACTATATACAACTGAAAACTTTCTGGGGTGTGAGTTTTCAGTTGTATATAGTCCTGGGGACCATTCAGGCTTGTTTGCATATATATATATATATATATATATATATATATATATATATATATATATATATATATATATATATATATATATATATATATAATATATATATATATATATATATATATATATATATATATATATATATATATATATATATCGCACTGCACTGCATCTGATATTTAATCATTGGTTTGAGATAACAAATGAGACCACTGAGAAGTGCTGCTGGGACACGAATATAAACAGCCAGTTGGCGACCTTGATAGAGAGTTCCGGTATGACGGCGGGCAGATTCAACCCAGGGACAGGTGAGGTTGGGGTTCCCCACTCACCAGGGGTGCAATTCAGGGCCAGCCCTTGGTTGACTGAGGGGCCCCAGGGCGAGCGGTCGCGCCCAGGTACGGAGGAGACGAAGACCCGCGGGAATAACCCTAACTACACAAGTTGAAAAGGGTGAAACAGTGATATTCTGCAATCTTCTTTCCATGCGAGTTCACTTCTTTCATACAACACTCAAGGTACCTTCCTTGAGGTTGTCTTCTATGGTACTCACGCCGGCGAGTCCACCTTTATCAGTAAATAATGGGCCAGTCCTCTACAGTATCATCACGGTGTCAAAACACCCCCTGCTACTCTCCAGCAACACTGGCAGGGGTCTCCAGCAACACTGGCAGGGGTCTCCAGCAACACACTGGCAGGGGTCTCCAGCAACACACTGGCAGAGGTCTCCAGCAACACACTGGCAGAGGTCTCCAGCAACACACTGGCAGGGGTCTCTAGCAACACACTGGCAGAGGTCTCCAGCAACACACTGGCAGAGGTCTCCAGCAACACACTGGCAGGGGTCTCCAGCAACACACTGGCAGAGGTCTCCAGCAACACACTGGCAGAGGTCTCCAGCAACACACTGGCAGGGGTCTCCAGCAACACACTGGCAGGGGTCTGCAGCAACACACTGGCAGGGGTCTCCAGCAACACACTGGCAGGGGTCTCCAGCAACACACTGGCAGGGGTCTCCAGCAACACACTGGCAGGGGTCTCCAGCAACACACTGGCAGGGGTCTCCAGCAACACACTGGCAGGGGTCTCCAGCAACACACTGGCAGGGGTCTCCAGCAACACTGGCAGGGGTCTCCAGCAACACACTGGCAGGGGTCTCCAGCAACACACTGGCAGGGGTCTCCAGCAA